GTAAATCATCGTCATCTTCCTTCTCAACAAAGAAGTCAGGGCTATTGAGGAACTCTGTGTTGACAAGGCCGTCAAAGATGGCAAGGAGGTCGCTGTTTAATGGATCTCTCAAGATGGATTCCGGTTCCGGTTCTTCCGTCTCCACGCTCGGTGCTGTTCTCGGTTGCTCGTCTCCATCCGTATCAGAGTTGGTTGGAGTCAGCAGTCGAGGCTGTTGTTGTTGTTGAGCTGCTGTCTCTGCAACAGTTGTGGTTTTACGGTGAAGTGCATTGGCTGTTTGTTGTGGCCTGTTGTTGCACTTCCCCACTCTCCTCTTCTTGTTGGCACTTGACAGGTACATAGTTCGAGTAATGCTCGTACCATTCTGGAAGTTCTTCTTCTTCTTCTGGGCTTTTTTTAATTCATCTATGTTCATGGGTACTTTCTCTTTGGTCTCCACTGCAACGAAGAACCTGGATTTGGTTCCATTGAGTGTGTCACCAAGAGATACCCGCCGTGACTTTGTCCTTGTGCCGTTGGTGTGGATCTGAACTATGTCGGCGGCGGCACCGTCATTGGGGGTAAGTTTTCTCTCTAGCAGACCGCTCTTGTTTATCATTGTCTTGAAGTCTGATGGTGCCATTGGCTCTGTTTTCTTTTGTTCCTTGGCAATGAGGAAAGCCCAGTACAGTGCTGGAACCCATTTCCCATGCAGGTTCTTCCTTCTTGAGGCCACCTGGAGGAATGCAACCAAATCGGGGTCCACCATGGTACCAATTCTACTGCTAAAAGTCCACACCGACGGGGCAAGTGGCAACCTCAGCTAAACCCAATGCAAGGATGTGTCCGTGCCTATGTTGGGAGGCAAGCGACAACGTGGGTTAGGCTGGGGTTTGGTTCTGGTGATGATATCACCCACTTGGTCTGTTGGCATGGGGTGGTGGCTCTCTTGTTGCTGCTCTGCCGCTAGCATCCATCAAGGGTACCATTGAAAACTCGAAGATAATTCGAGCCATTTCCTGGTCCAAAACCTGAAATGTGAGTGCATCAGATGAGGTCCGGCGGACTATGCAAATTAACAGTACTAGCCTTTTTTACTCGATTTGGCGCGCTTTGCACGAGGCAGACGGACGATGGGAGTGTGACTTACTTACTTGCCAGTCCTCATTATGATTGCTACAGTACTCAGTAATAATTAATTTTCTAAATTCTACTGAAGGACTGAGTCATTCTTGGCTTAGTTTTCAATTTACAGAAAGCATGCTATTCCATGCTACACTTCTTCTTCTTTTTTTAAAAAAAGTTAGACTACCTTGAGCAGAGAAAGAGGGTCGATTCTTTATCCAACCTCGTACCAGTACGGAAGCACCGTACAGAGGACGACTGTCAATATTGGGATTTGGGATGGATTATGTAGCATTGCTTGGATCAATTTGCGGTTCAGGCTCGCTATGGTAGCCCTTCTATAGTCCACGGACGTTTCTTGGTGGGGATGTTGATTGTTTGGCTGGATTTCGTTGGAAACAGGAGTGCGGTACAGGTACAGTTGCAGTTTGGTCTGCCCCTGCAATTGCTCTTGGACACCGTAGTTGCTGGCTGTCTTGCAGCTACCAAGCAAAATGGTGGTAGGGATCAAAGTCAAGAAATGGTGCAGGTACCGCTGAAAGTACTAGTAAGTTTGCTTGCGATATCCCCACGGTTTCAACAATCACTGCCTTGTTCCTGACTACTACCGTACCGGTCATTGACAATAGAATATTATAGCTGATGTAATGACATTAAAGCAAAAGCTTCAGATGATTGATTCGACTCGACTCGACTCGACTCGACTCGACTCACTTTCCGGGTGGTAATCAGTAGCCATCTATCTGGCGGTTCTGATCTACTAAACGCTTGTCGGGACACTTGTCCAGCAGAGGTGTTAGCGCACCCATCCACCGCTTGCCCAACCAGGCATCCAGTTTCGCGGAACAACATATCATACTAGCTAGTACATGTACTAGCTAGCTACAGCAGTACCGATAACATGGACCGTATGCTATGTGGTAAACAATACTGGAGGCAGCCAAAAGGTTTGGCCTCATCAGTCTCCTGATTGGAAGGCCAATAGAACATAGAACACTGGCTAGAACAAGAACTCTTGACCTTCCTTCGCCCTTTGTTCTTGCTTTGCAAACAGGTGGGGCTCATGGAATTAGAGGACAAGGATCCTTGGACAGAAGCCTCAAAATAAATATCGATGAACCAGGAAACGAGTGACAGTCCTCAGTCGAGTCGCCAATCACAAATCACAATTCTCCCACGAAGTTTCCCCGGAGGCTTCCCGATGGCCGATGCCGAACATCAAAACCACTGGGCAGTGGCCCCCAACAGACACTTCACCGCAGCTGCCTCCTGAAGCTCTGAAGTTAGCTGATACAGTAACCGGCACTCCATCGTCTGCGTCCACGTTCACAATCTACAGTAGCCAGTTAGTTGATAACACACCACCATAAATTCCAAACCAGCAGGTCAACGAGATCAGCAACCATTGCAGTCCTCGTCCTCGTCCTCGTCCTCCCTGCTCCACCTGCCCGCAAGTCCATCCATTACAGAACGAACTTTTAAAAGACGGGCGTAGTTGACCTTCAATTGATTGACTGTCTGATAATGATGATTGGAGTTCAGAAGCAGCGGTTGGTGGTAATATGGCTTTGCTTATGTTGGCTTGCAAGCAGTACCAGTATAGCAGAGAAGGCCACCATTGTCGTCCTCCAAGATGGTGAAGCAGCCTCCAAGGCCAATGCTACCAACACTACCTCCGTCACTACTAATAATCATCTGTGTCCCCACGATCGTGTGATTCCCTTCAATCCAGCCCGTCACCAGAAACGCGTCTACAAAGTGGGCGTCTTGGCGATTCGTGGCTTTGAAGCGGCCTACAATGAGTTCAATACGACCTTTCAAGACTACCTGACTGCCACGGCCGGACAACGCTTTGATCCTCCGTTGGAATTCGAACTGGTACCACTCAACTTCAAACTCCTCTTTACAGATACCGAACAAGGATTGGTCGATTTCATCTATGTCAATCCCTCCGCGTTTTCCTGTATCGAATCCGAGTTTACCGCCCACTCCCTCGTATCGCAAGTCTCGCGACGTAAGATTCATGGCAATGAATACCATCTCAAAATGTTTGGCGGGGTCATTATGAAACGCGCCAACGACGAGCGCATCCAATCCATTCACGACCTCACAGACAAGGTCATTGCCGCCGCTTCCATTAGTGGACTGGGGTCGGGGCAAATGCAATTCCTGGAACTGCAAAAGGCGGGGATGAGTTATATCAATGGTACGTACTACAGAACACATACGGCAACTCACACCGACGAGAACGCAGCTCAACTCGTTTTCTATTACGTACGTAGACCCCAAACAGTTGGTCTTTACATCTAATCAAGGGAAGGTCGTCAAAGGTGTCCTTAGTGGCAAGTTTGATGTGGGGTTTGTCAGGGTGAGTGCAAAACTGATGATTCACAATCAATGGGATTAGTCATGCCCTTCTAACCAGCAGCTCTTACGTTCTTGTGGCACCTGGATGGAGTAGACGGACCAAATAGAACGCACCAAAGATGCCAATGGCACACTCCTCGATCCAAACTTGTTCTCCGTCATTGACCCCGTCCCGGATCTCAACATCGATGGAGATCCATTTCCGTTTGAAGCATCCACGCCATTGTACCCAGAATGGTTCGTACCTACTTACTAAGGAAGAGTGTCGCCCCCCCCCCAATCAACCGCCATATTTCTCACACAAGTATTCATTCACTCATTCGTCTTGTGCCATAGGAATCTGGCCGCTCTACGATATGTTGCGGACGATGTCTCACAAGCCGTACAATCGAGCATGTTGGCATTGGCCGATCATGCTTCGGTGGCAGTACAGTATCACGATTGTGTCAAACAGTTTCCCAATCATACCGACGACTTTTGTCATTTCGACAACCTTCCCAAAGCACGGTGCGATACCACCCAAGAAGTGGCAGAAATTGCTCTCGCTGCCAGTCAAAAGGGCAAGTATGCCGCTTGGACCACCACTTTGAGTTACATGCAATTGCGATCCATGCAAGAAGTCACTGGCTTTATCAACATGGATCCAGCCGACAATATCTTTAAATGCACTCGACCTTCCACACTCTACGACAGTATCACCTGTCCCGAAGGATATTACAAGGCATCCGAGCAGGTTGTGAATCAGGCGTGTTCCACCCGGGAGTTGTCGTGCGAAGAAGGATTCCAATGCATCTGTTCTCCCTGCCTTCTCATTCAAACATGCAATCATGGCGTCGAAATCAGAGGCAAGTGCGTCAGTTACTCCATCTTTTTACCTGCCATCTTGGTACCCTTTTTTCTTTTGTGTGCCATTGCGGTCCATTACTACGTTGAATATAAACGCAAACAGGCGGATTCCATCTGGGCCGTCCAACCGGACGAACTCGAATTTGAATCGCCACAAAAAGTACTCGGAAAAGGAACCTTTGGGTATGTCTTGTTGGCGGAATACCGAGGCACCAAAGTGGCCGTGAAACGAGTCATCCCGCCCAAGGGCAGTTCGCGGTTGGCACAGAGAAAATCACGACGGGCCGTGCAGCACAGTCGCACCATGGGATCAGACGACAATACCGAAAATAGAGACAGTGCCAGCGATAAGGATATTGAAAGTCAAGTCAGTTCGAACGTCAACCTGGGGCTCAAGAGCATGGGTCCGGAAAAAATGATGCACTCTTTGGACAATTCACTCAATCGACGAAATCCGGGGATGCGCAGTATGGCATCGAGATTGGCATCGCTCACGGGGTCCAACACCGGGACACTCCGAAAACCACCTCATTCGGATCTCAAGCAGGTATGTCGTGCGTGAGACTTTTGTAGTGGCGGAAATGCTGTCTTCCTCTCTCACACTGAAACCTATCAAACCCCCCATTCCCCAGGAGTTCATGAAAGAGATGCAACACTTGTCCAAGGTAAGTGCGTGGCTTTGCTGTTGGTAGAACATCCTGCGTAGTCGTATTCGAAGCTGGTACTAACGAGGACATCCGAATGTGCATTTGATTCGACTCGGCACACACAATCCACAAACTATGTTCTAGCTTCGACACCCCTGCATCACGACGGTCATGGGCGCTGTGGTAGCCAAGGGGGCAGAACCAATGCTGGTGATGGAGTACATGAACCAGGGTTCGCTTCACGATGTGCTCAAAGATGAAACCATTGAACTGGATACGGATGAACACCTCATTCCCATCCTACAAGACATTGCCCAAGGAATGCGCTTTCTACATGCTGCCAATCCGACTGTGATTCATGGAGACTTGAAAGCGAAGAACGGTAAGTCCGCTGCCCTGCCCAGTTACGCATCCTTCGTCGTTCGTTGTTCTGACGCACTTGACTCTCGTGACTATTTAGTTCTGGTTGACAACAAGTTCAGAGCAAAGGTACGCATCAAAGCCATCCGTGAAACGGTTTGGCGTTGTCTACATGTGCTAACATTCCTTCCTTTCGGTACGACAACAGGTTACGGACTTTGGGCTCAGTGCCAAGAAGAGCAACAATGCTTCCGGAACACCGTATTGGATGGCTCCGGTGAGAAAACCTTGTTTGCCGCTCTAGCTAGCAATGAAAAGCATGGATGTGCGGAGCTAATGATGATTGTTCTCGTTTTCAGGAACTGTTGAGGGGCGATAGCACCAATACGGCCAAGAGCGACATCTACGCGTTCGGGATTCTCATTTATGAGATCTTCTCCCGAAAAGACCCTTACGAGGGAGAGAATCACATTGAAGTCTTGCGCAAGATTTGTGATCCCTTCGTCAACAAACGGCCTCCTATACCCGACGGGTGTTCGTTCAAAATGGCTGAATTGATGACTGAGTGTTTGTCATTAAACCCCGCGGCGAGGCCTACAGCAGAGCTGGTCGATGTGGCCGTGCGTGTCGAAGGGTCAGTCAAGGAACGAACAAGCAAGCTGGAACAGCTCAATAGGGAGTTGGAGGAAGCAAACAAGAAGATCGAAACGGCTTCATCCATGCAACTTGTAAGTCAAGTCCCTTCCGTCCAAACAGGCGCAATGGCCCCCCCATCTGCACCCACTAACTAACATGATGGCCTGAACACCCACAGGAGCACTTTGCTTGTATGTCACACGAAATTCGCACTCCGGTACGTAAACGACAGTGGGTCTTCTGGTTGTTTGCTTTTGTGCTCTCGGTTCAAAATCTCATTCATCACCTGGCCTCCACCGTATCTGAAACTCAGTTGAATTGTATTGTCGGGCTTTCTAGTCTCATGGAGGAATCGAATTTGAACGCAAGTCAGGCCGAATCGATCGGCATGATTGCTTCGTCCAGTCGGCTGCTTCAGAGTATCGTTGACGATGTGCTCGATTTCAGCAAGCTTCAATCGGGCAATGCCGAGGTCGACATTAAGAAAACCGATATCCAGAGGGTCGTGGCCGATTTGGCGTCGTCAATGCGAGCTAGTGTGCTAGCCAAGAAACGAAATGTGAACATTGAAAGCTGCTTCACACCTTTGACTCGTCGATACGTGGAGACCGACGGACGAAGGCTACTCCAGATTCTTTTCAACCTCGTGTCAAACGCAGTCAAGTTCAGCAAAAATGATGGAGTCGTGAAGGTTGCGATCGATGTTTGCCCACGAACATGGCCCATTGGTGAGAAAGAACCACAGGAAGACGATGATGGTGAACGCAAGCCATTAGTTAAGTTTGCGTTCAAAGTGCTACGGTTCACAGTCAAAGATTTCGGCAAGGGTATCGAAACGCACAACTTTGACCGCATCTTTCAACCTTTCACTCAGACCAACTCTGGTGTCAACAACATTGATGGCGGCACAGGTAAGAGCAGCAACCAACTCGTGTGCATGTTTGGTGCGTTTTGACGAACCGTGCACCTCACATCATCGACGTCTTCTATCTGACAGGGCTTGGACTTGCCATTACCGAAAAGCTCATCAGAGCTTTAGGAGGGGACATTCGAGTGGACAGTGTCGTGTCCGAGTGGACCGAATTCACCGTTGACTTCCCCCATGACGAGCCTCCTCCTTGCATTCATGACATTAGTACCAAGTTCACCAGAGCCGACATATACACCGTGGGCGAGAACCAGCACATGTCGGACATTTTCACATTCTTTAACGTGAAAACGTTGCCCACTTTGACCATGGCTGAGGTGGAAAAAGCCCTTCAACAGCAACCCAAGCCACCCAATGCGGAAAAGCGAGCGAATCTGTGCGTGGTGCAAGCGTCTCTCTTCGACAAGGAGATTACGGAACGTTTGTCCAAGAATTTCGGTATGCGGGTGGTGATCATTGGTCCGATGAAATTAGATATGGAAGGTGTGAAACATTATCAGTACTTGGGTGAAGTTGTACCTTCGAATTTCATGGCCGACCTGGGAGACTTGGTGAATGAGTCACTGAACATTCAGAGGTCAGAAAGAATCAACCACGAACTGACTGCAAGTGCTCGAGTGAGCGCCGACCTTACCAAGCTGAGAATCCTGTGCGCCGAAGACAACTTGGTGAACCAAAAGATTCTTGTCCGCATGTTGAAGCGTGTTGGAGTGTCTCATATCGTAGTTGTTGAAAACGGCAAGCTTGCTGTGGAGAGGGAAGCCGAGGAGGAATTCGACATTGTGTTGATGGACATGCAGGTATGTATCTTGTGCAACTGTGGTGGGATGCATGACGTCTGCAAACATGTGTCTTATCTGCGCGCTATTCCAACTCCCTCCATGCACAGATGCCCGTAATGGACGGAATCGACGCCACAAAGCTAATCTTGGCTCGTGAGGGCGGCCACAAGCTACCCCTTGTGGTGTTTGTGACGGCGCATGTCTCGAGCACCTTTGAAACTCAATGTATGGAGTGTGGTGCCACAGCCTACTTGCCCAAGCCCTACACGCTTCCTGTTATGAAAGCGACCTTGACGGAGGTTGCCGAAAAACTTTTGTAAACAACCACAAGAACTAACTATCCTTCCCCAAAGCATCGGGGCAGCTGTTCACTCCCGTCGACACCATGTGGGGGTGGTTTCCCTCGAGTCCAGCTGTGCACTCGGTCAAACACGGCGCTTTACTTACCTTGTGGCATTTGTCTAGCTAACTACAGCGAATCACAACTCCACTTGAGATCCAGCGAGGCAGTCAGGCACACTCGGACACCAGGCCAAATCTACATGCCAAGAAGCACTGGTTTCTTTGTCCGCTGCTGGAAGATCTCCAAGATCCAAACGTCACACAACTTCCCTCTCCAGCTTTTCTCCAGAGTTTCACCTTGACTCACAGCAGCACTGACAAACAACAATGCCAATAAAGCTAGCACTATCCATAGAAATACAACTAATAATAATATTTCACATTTGGCATGTGCTATGTTCGATGCGGTATGATCGAGAACCTGAGTTCCACGAGAGAACCAAGGGAGGTAGCACTCCAAAGTACCACCAACATTCCTAGGTCATAGGCACATCCCCACCAGGGTCCCGCTTGATAACGATGTGAGTCCTCAGTGAGAAAGTAGAAGTATTCCGCAAGCTTGAAGAAATACACCAGAAACAAGAATGTCCATCGTTGCTCTCGTTCCAAATAAAAACACCACCAAACCAACATTCCTAGGTCATACTGGATTGGGTTCGAGGTAGTACTGGGAGAGCGGGGAGGAGAGGAGCAGGGCAAAAGGGAGCGAGGGGGGGGGGGAGGGGAGAGCATTGAGCAAAAGGAGGAAGTGGAGGGGAAGTCGAGAGGGAATAAAAGGGGGCAAGATTAGCGGAAGAGTGCAAGTGGATTATCGGCATATCCCCACCAGGGTCCCGCCTGATACCTCTGACAGTCCTCAGCGAGAAGGTAGAAGTATTCCGCAAGCTTGAAGAAAAACACCAGAAACAAGAAGGTCCTTCGTTGCTCTCGTTCCAAATAAAAACACCACCAAAGCAAAGGCAGGAAGAGCACCGAAGGGCTCAGTTTGATTTCATGCCGCTTGTCCGAGACGGCTTGTACAGCACCATCCATGATGATGGCTGTTTCTGAGGTCTGAGGGGGAAAAGGAAGTTCTTGTCGAGTGTGTTATGGTTGCCTGTCTCTTGCGTGCATTCCTTTTTGTCACCCCAACAACGACTTCTTCGAGTGACAATCGTCTCTCCATCATCACTATCACTGCATGATGCATGATCGGTACTGTACCGTAGCCTACTAACGCTGAAAGTCTGCATGTAGTAGCAGGCACCAACCGGTTCGGAGGACAGTGTACGATGTACTGTACAGTACGATGGACAACCCTTGACCCGGTACCGGTACCAGTACTGTACCAGCTTAAGCACAAGCGCGTCTAGCAAACGTGGCAGTCCTAGACTATAAATCTTTCAGTTGCCAGTTTCTGTTTTTAGGATGCTTCTTATTAAGCGTAACCTCTTGGGAATGATCTAGCAAGTCTCAGTTCTATTCGCGGAACACTAATGCTTTGTATTATTGATGTTTAAAGAGCCAGAATTTCACCTTCTTGAGGTTTGAGGCTTTGTTGGGTTGTGCGATGCTGTCTTCTGTCAACCGGACACCTGCTATCTTCAGTAATAGCAACCTTGTGTGCCTGCCCATCAGCTGCCATTAGGACTCCTGTCTCTTCTATTCCACCATTACCTAATTAACAGCATACAAGTACCCTCCGGCAATGAATAGCTCTGATAAGTGAATGTTTACGTGTAGTCCTTGAAGGTCGGTATTAATACCAAGCAAGCACTGGTTTTGGTTGGGGTATCTGGTGTCTGCACCTTGAGGTAATCAACTCAAATTGAGTCTTTTCTCCTTTTTTCAAAAACATTTTCTTCAAAAATATGTTCCCCAGACTGAAAAGGAAACAGCCTATTTGAGCTGACCAATCTGAATCTGAATTTTAAGAGCCTAATTAGGCTCTTAAAATTACAACAGGCTCTTAGAATTCAGATCTGAAAAACCAGATTGAATATCCAGCTAATTTACACTGGGATCTGAGTTTTCAATTTTCCAATCTTAATTCTAAGAGCCTAAATAGGCTCTAAGAGGCTCTGAGAATTCAGATTCAGATTATTCAACTTCAACAGGCCTTGTGGAGTCCTGCATGTCTCTTTGCTTCATTTTACATTTTCTGAACAATTAAGATTTGAGCTTTTTCTTCCATTTGGAGGACATTACCCCAAGGTGCTGGTGAGGAGAGGGGTATAAGACCATGGAAGAATCAGCTCCTTCTTCTCTTGGCAGGATGGCGAATGACGAGAACGATGCTCTGCCGAGAAAGACTGTACCCCAGCACCTCCATAATGCTACCCATACCCATCATTCTCCAGATCCCACGGCCACCTCTTCGTCTCACACTAGCAGTGAGAAAAGTTTGGGACGTCCCGCCCGCATGAGTGTAAAGGCGCGTACTACGGGTACCATCTACCACTATCCATCGAGCGATCAGCCGTCTTCTGTTCTGGACCGTGCCAAATTGGAAGAATTCCATTCGTCCGTCATGATGTTACAGCAAGAAGAAGACGTAGAAGCGAGACCCTCCACCATTGCCGAAGACGCTCCTCCATCATCCGAAGAAGGAGGCCCGCGTCGTCAATCCAGTTTTACCAACTTTGTCCATGCAGCCAAGAAATACTGGAAATCCAATCTAGCAGGCGAAACTTCCTATGTCCGCAAAGACAGCATCAAGGCTCATCAAGCCATTTCAATTTATCCCACACTCCCCAAAACAGAACGCTCACTGGCGGATCGACCTTCTACCAACACCACGGCCCTTCAAAAGTTTCAACAATCCCACGATCAAAAAATGAAGGCGTGGAAACAAATATCCAGTAGTACCAATTCGGCTACTACAACTTCGCAAGAACAACGACGACAACGAATGATGAATGAAAGTACCGGGAATATCAATTCTTCCAGTCGATATTATCCCTCTACAACAACCAGTGCCAGTATGCATCACAGCACCAATAGTGCGGGTGGTGGCAGAAAACGAACCTCCATCTTTTCTTCTTCGCTACGACAACAACCACAAGATCGATCACGGAGACCCTCGACGTATGTTCCAAAAAGTTCCAATAATGCGAGTTTTCGATCCACAAGTAGTAGTTTTCGAAGGAGCTCCAACAATGCACGCCTACAACAACATCAGCAACAGCCGCCTCCAGCACTCATCTTTCCTCCAAGACAGCAATCCGAACTAATGGATGACGATTCTGAAGTGGGAATCTTTGAATTGTTTGCCCAACGACGAGCCACCAAACTAGTAGAACCACCCACGCAAACACAAAAACAACAACAAACACCTATACAAAAACAAAAACCACATCAACAATCTGAAGCACAACAACTACAACTATCTGAAACATGGCACGACGAATCCGAACAGAGTATTTCAATGGAAAATTCCAGTCATCGCCCTCTCATGGTGGATAATTCCATGCAACAATCGTCCCTCACGCAATATTCCACAACCAGTCTGCAACAGCAAATACAACAACAAAGCAATCATTTGCCAAATTTGTTGGGAATGGAACATTCCACGTCCAGTCAGCTGTTGTTGCCACCAAAACCTGTCGTGCAGTCCCATCCTGAAACGTCCGTGGCCCATCAGACGGATATGTCTCCCAGAGGAGGATCAATGGAGGAGAAAGTCAGTGCAACTCAGCATAATAATACGGATTTCTCGCGCAGAGGAGGAGGAAGGCAGGAATCTATGATAACCCTTCCAACTCGGAATGATAATAATCACAATCAACAACCTGACAATGTTAGGGGTTTCTCGCGCGGAGGAGAAATGGAGGAAACAGTCATGGCGATGCCAACCCCAAAATCACAACAGCAGATTCCAGAATCAAAGCCGCAAACTGACTTTTCAGCTCGGGGGTCAAATCATAATGACAAAATCACTAGTACCAAACAAGACGTTGCGTCAGCCCAGAGTGATGATGAAAAGCAGCAACCATCGCAAAAGCATGCCGCTACACGAGAAGATATTGTTCGAATTATGGAGCAAACTAGTTGGGAGCGTGATATTGGAGCAGCTGAATATCAGGCACAGCAAGCCAAGGAAGATACCACAACGACGACATCAACAACAACTGCAGCAAAACGGGGGAACAGTAATCACAGCAGCACGTCGAGTATGCCATATCCTTCACAGCAGTGCAAGGAAGAAGTACGGGCAGATTCTTCGATTCAATCGGAACATGCTGCACGTCAACGACAATTCGTCAAGAGTCAAACTTCAGAAAGCAAGCAGCAGGAACTAACAGAGAGAGTTTCAACAGCCATGGGGAGGGCATCCGGGGCAAGCCTCATCTCGTTGGAGGACTTGGAGGATACAAATCATGACGGAGCTCCACGCCAACGCAGCTTACCCATCTGTACAGTCCCTACGCAAGCTGCGCCGCGACAAGTCGCTTGGACACGGTCACCGTCACAAACCACCGTTTGGACACGGACGACGCCCCGAAGATACCGCTCTGCAGCTTCGGAAAAGGAAATACGTTCCACAACCAGTGATGACGACGTCAAGCCAGGAGCATACCAACAAGCACCTGGAAAGGCGAGCGAACGCAACCGGGCCATTCGGAACTCTGTCATTTCCGCACATAGTATGAGCGCCCAAATGTCCTTTCAGCGGGGAGATATGAAGGCTAGTGCACGATCCTCCATAGACAGCCAGAACCGTGATGATATCATCGGATACGACAGTGGCCATGCAAGCGATAGTGGACAGAGGGGCGATGGACATAAGAAGAGAGCTTCGTTATCATCCATTATCAGTATCGAAGATGAGAAGGAACAGCAAGAAGCCTCGGCCACCGACTTTTACGAACCCATGCCAAACTATGCGGAGGAAACGAAACTGTCCACGACCACTGCCGGTCGAGCACCGGGAGCCAACGAAGTCGCAGCAAGAGAGAAGGAAAACGACTACGATCGCAAAATGGCAGCATGCATCGCATGTTCACACGACACAGACATCTCCACCGACGAAGAATCAGAGCAACGGTCATTTTTGGGAAGTTCAACTCCTGGTCAGAGGCTGAGTAGAGATGCGGAAAACTACAGTGGTTCTTCAGGGAACCGTTCGGCGTCACGCTCGCCCCCGAGAACGGGCTCTCGACGTGGAGGGAGAAGGCCTGTTAGGAATGTGATTCAGAGATTCTCCGTCCGATCGCAGATGTCCAATCTAACAACCGAGGACGATATCTACCACGGTGCTCCGCGGACGCGGGACACAGATGACGAGGAAGAAAAGGAGGAGATCCAAGCGCCAGAAACTGCTGCTCCGGATGACTTGCCACTACTACTGAGCATGGATCAGGACTACAAACAGCCGAGCGATTCGCGTTCGAGAAGCAACAGCTACTACAACGGAAGCAACAACACGTCGCCTACCAACAGTCCAAGACGCGCCAGGTCCCACGATCGCGTGACAAACGCTGGACTACGAAGCAACAGTGCGTCACCTACCAACCAAAGACACCCTTGGGGTTCAAATCGACCACCAGCGAACAATGCCAGTCTCATGGTACCTAATCGAGCACAGAATTTGCCGATTTCACAACGTCGCTTCAGCGGTTACAGCAACCTCGCTACTAGCAATGATTCCGCCAAGATTTGTGGAACTAGAGCCAGTCTCAAAAGTGTCAGTGAGAAAAGCATGGAAGACTCTAGTGATCTTTCACTGACCGATTTGCGGCAGCGCGTGAGTAATTGGACAACATCAACCGGTTCCACCACGGCTTCTGAGGCAGCCAAGTTGTCGGCGACTCGAATTGCTCGCAACATGAGCCTCTACATGAAAGCCGGAGCGTTGCCCGTGGCAGCCAGGGTGGTAAATTGTGACGATGAAGAATTCGAGGCCAAGTTGAGAGAAAAGCTTGAGTTTGAGCTGAGGCAAGAGTTAGAGATTGAAATGGAAGATTTTCGTCGCCAGATTGCACTGCAAATGGTGGGTGCAGCTCAACCGGTGACTGCGGATGTCATCGCTGTGCAAAAGCGCATGTCGTTGATTGACGATTCTCACCGCATGTCAATGGTCGACGATTCCCTGACAAACAACGACCTTGAGGATGCAAGTGAAGACATGGGAGATCTTCGATTTGCGCAAATTATGGAGCTTGAAAGAAGGGAGGCAGCTGCTGTGAGATCTGATATGAACCGGGAATTGGGGAGAATGTACGTTCAAATGAAAAGCCAACAGAACATGCAAGATCTCAGCAACGTGGACGAACACGGGGAGCAGCGTGAATCCTTTTATGACGAAGAAGCTGCAGTAATCGAACGTCTGACTTCCGCAGCCGGAGGCGACGTGCATGACGACAAGGCAACCGATTTGCCGAGCTGGAAGGTTCTTTGGATGGCAGTGTCGTCGGCCTTGATTGTTGGACTGCTGCTGGGAGTGGTGGTTGCCGTGGCGATCTATGAATCTAGCTAGTGGGTAAACTGTTTGTTGGCGAACTGACAGAACTCTCGTGTTCATTCCGACCTGCAGTTGCCTCAGGACGACTTTTCTGGGGCGGGTGCTGGTTGGTTCTCAGGGAATCACGAGGTACACAAGGACAGCAGGCCGTAAGGTTCTCTGAGCGAAACAAAGTCAGGCGGGAGAATTGCTGCTAGCTAGACAGCTAAGACAAGTAAAAACACAAACGAACTACATGGTACCCAGCTACGTTGCTTGGGCGTGGACAAACAGCCCAGACAGAAGAAGCAAGCCAGCCCTGGAGATGTTCATTCGGAGGAGCAGACATTTGTAACACTGGATCTCAAATAATGAAGGCACGGCCTGCTGGAGCACGAGCCAGACTGTTTGCCAAGAGGAAACACCGGTGAAAGGGAACATCATCGTCGCAAAGAGCTGTGCTGCAAAGGCTAACAGAAGAGGATGGCCAAATGAAAAAGAAGCGACAAGCCAAATCCTCCAAATTCAACAGCTAGGCCTGGCTTGCTGCGCCGCAGAGAAAGGCACAAGCAATCAGAGCAGGAGCCAGGCAACAGGGGAATGAGTGGCTGGAGCTGGAGTCAGACTGTTTGCCACCAACAGAAACAGAGGGACTTGGACTTTGGAACCAAAGGGACTACAAAGGAAGTCAGGGTTCAATAAGTGAGAAGCAGGACACTGGGACTTTGGAACTGCCAACCAAGGTGACTTCAAGGGCAAGCAAGCTTGACAGGAACCAGACAAGAATAATTTGGCAGGGCAAAGAGGTTTGGGTTGGGAGCAGCACAGATGTTTTGAGTTTGGGTGTTTGAGTTTGGGAACCAAACGGGTGCTTGAGTTGGGAACCAAAAAGGTCAGAGCAAAGCAAGAAGTGGAAGCACCAACAAGCTTGGCTCCACAAGACCAACAGGGACAGTAGTCAGAAGAGGAACCACCAACAAGTGCAACTTGGCTGCTCCAAAGCTTTCCCAGCTACGAGCGACTACTACTTCTTCACGTCAGCGCCTTAAGGAAGCTTTGGAGCAGCCCTCCAGAAACGGTCACTTGACTCCACAAAGAAGGAAGAGGAAGAGCCACTAGCTGCCAACGAAAGAGACTTCCAACTGGAGGACCGGGCCTTCAACGCTTGTACTGAAGTACTGGTTTGAGTTTGAGTTTCTCTCGGCTCGCATCAACCAAAAGGAAGATGCTCCCCAAACTTCACGACGTGGACGTGGAAACTCTTCGAAGTTCATTGCATCAACGACGGTAGAGGTTGGTTTTCAGGTGTCACAGGTATTAACTATCAAAGTGGATACGTTCAGTCAGCTGTGAAGCCTCCCTAGCACAGGAACCACAAACCTGGCAACCCTTAATGTGACCCTTCAATGAACCAACAGTACACGCCTCCGCCTAGTTTTTCTCGGACATCGCGGTCCACATGTTTCTATTTTTTCTCGGACATTGCGGTCCACATGCACTAGTTTTTCTCGGACTTTGCGGTCCACATGTACTAGTTTTTCTCGGACTTTGCGGTCCACAAGATGGCAAAGGCAACTCGTCCCCTAGTTTTGCTTGGACATTGCGGTCCACGTGGCTGGTGTTTCTATTTTTTCTCGGACATTGCGGTCCACATGCACTAGTTTTTCTCGGACTTTGCGGTCCACAAGATGGCAAAGGCAACTCGTCCCCTAGTTTTGCTTGGACATTGCGGTCCACTTGTCTGGCTGGCAAAGGCAACTCGTCCCCTAGTTTTGCTTGGACATTGCGGTCCACTTGGCTGGCATGTCACAGGAACCACCAAACAGTGAACCACCAACAATGAGCTCCACAGGAACAGAAAAGCAGGTTGAAATGCACTAGCTTGGAAAGAGGAGTCAGCTCTGATTCACACGAACCACCAAACAGTGGACTCCCGCGCCAAGGAGCGTTGCCAAAAGTGAAGCCAACAGGCACGGCCGACGGACTTCAAACCAGCTTCGTCGGTTTAAACGCGACCTCAAAAGTGCTCAGCATCACAGCAAAGGCAACCGTCAACAACGGCAACGGTCAAGAACCGCGAAGGCAACCGTCAACAACGGCAGCAACCGCAACGGCGGCCCATGTAGCTAAGACGACGGTCCAATGGTAGACTACCCGGTGCCTTGTGAGCTTGTGCATTGCCTAACCTAACAAATTAAGAAGAGCAAGGGCAACAAGGGAATGGTGAGACTTGAGCTGAGAGCAAACTAAAGAGCAAAGCACCATTTTGCCGCATGCACTGCATGTCACTTTCCTCAGCGAAGACAATCAGGAACACACTCTCGAGTGCCCCTGGAAGCTTCCAACACGAATGCTGACTCGCAAGAGTAAAGAACTACTAATGACATGCCTGCATGCGTACTCGTGGACCGTACCTGTTGTGATGTGATGGTTGATGATGATGAGACTGGAACATGAAACGACACCACGGGCCCACTAGCGGTCTGGGCTGGGATGAGCAGCCAACAGCTCTAGGCTGAAGTGGGTGGTTTGTTGGTGTTGAAACTTCTGCATGTGAAAAACGCAGGTGTACCGTACCTGTTTGACTCGATCAGCTGCCCGACTGGTGCTATTGCATGCTGGAGTGGGTCTTCGTCTTCGTCTTCAACCAAACGACCAGACCGACACTGCTGCCTGGCCAAATTTCCGCTGGGCTCTCCTTGAAGATCGCCCAGCTTTCATATGGTTGCAGGTTGCTGTTTGACTCGATCAGCTGACGACTGGTGCTATTGCATGCTGGAGTGGGTCTTGTCTTCGTCTTCAACCAAAACGACCAAACCGACACTGCTGCCTGGCCAAATTTCCGCTGGGCTCTCCTGTGAAGATCGCCCAGCTTTCATATGGTTGCAGGTTGCTGTTGACTCGATCAGCTGCCCGACTGGTGCTATTGCATGCTGGAGTGGTCTTCGTCTTCGTCTTCAACAAACGACCAAACCGACATGCTGCCTGGCCAAATTCCGCTGGGCTCTCCTTGAAGATCCCCAGCTTTCATATGGTTGCAGGTTGCTGTTTTACTCGATCAGCTGCCCGACTGGTGCTATTGCATGCAGTACCTCGAAGCAGACGCATTGTTAGCCAGGGAGAATGCCAAAGGAGTCAAGGAGATTGACAAAAGGAGTAGCCAAACCAGGAGACCAAGGATGGACCGTCAAACAACCAGCATGCTCAGATATAAAAAATGAGGTTGAGACTGTGTCTAAGGTTCTGGCATGACATCACGGAAGGAACCACGGAAGGAACCACCAAGAGACAAAGAGACAGGTAGCAGTGAAACTTTGCTGCTCCGAATGCTTCTCAGTACAAATCCAATCCGAGGAGAATTACTTCTTCATGTCATGCCTTTAAAGAAGCACTCGAGCAGCCTGCAACAATCACTACCACAATCCCTGCTCCCAGCCAACCAAGCACTAGGCAATGAGCACTAGGCAACCAACCAAACAAAACCACAGGAACCACCACAGGGACCACCACCACCAGCAGCAGCCCCAGGGACCACCAACATCAGCAAGCAGCAGCAGGAACCACCAACAGGAACCACCAAGGACAAGGTTGTAGAACTCTTGGATAATCATGTCGAAATTGAAACCTCCCAAGAGACTTTCCGATTTGATTGCCGACCGACCAACCCAGAGAACCAACAGGAAGAAGAGACTGGGACGTTGTCTAAGAAGACGGAGACGGCTGATCTCGACTTGTCGTTGTTTGTCTCTAAGAAGAAAAGGCAGAATGGAACAAGAAAGAGGTTAGACTTGAGCTGAGAACAAAAGCAAAAGCAAGGCGCATGCATGCATGCCACTTTGGTTCAGCGAAGTGAAGAAGGATAGGCTTTGTAAAGTTTCCACCCCCTCCACTTCCAACGCCGTTTATGTTGACTCGCAAGGAGCAAAGAATTAATAATGTCATGCATGCATGCCGTTCACTAGCGGACCGTACCTGTGCGTTTTTGATGAACAACTCACTGCTGCTCCACGTGTGCCACTTGCAAGAGTAAGGTGGTGCTCTTGGACTCGAAGAAGATGCCGGAAGGCTCTTGGACTCGAAGAAGGTGGTTTTTGTAGCTGGCTGCTACCACAAAGGAAAGGAAGAGCCTACAGTAGGTCTTGCCAAAGAAGAGCCACCGGAAAGGAAGAGGAGGAACCACTTCGACCAAACTGTCGGCCAGGGTCTCTCGTTTAATCGCTCGAGTTCCAACAGACACTCTGCGCCGTCTTGACCGACCGACCAACTGGAAAAGGAAGAAAAGCCACCGCAAAAGGAAAGGAAGGTTCTATCAAGAGTGTCCCGCCCAACTTTTCCGCAAAAGCATGCCCAGCTTCCAGAAGGTTTCGGTTGGCGGTTCTTTGACTCGACTCGACTCGACTCGACTCGAAGGTACTGGTGCTCGAAGAAGGTGCCGAAAGGCTCTTGGACTGGGAAGAAGGTGGTTTGGTTCTACGCCGCCGAAAGGACCCAACCACCCGCCACAACTCAGCTTGCACGAGGACGACCCAACACACTGGAACCGCCGCAAGAAGCCACCTTTTCCAGCGAGACAGCAAGGAACTACCGTGACCAAAGCTGTCCTCGGGGTCTCTCGAAAGTCGCTCCGACTCTTTTCCGAACACTTGACCAAGCAACCAAGCAACCTACGGACCGCCAGGCTGCACCCGAATGCTTCCCGAGTACAAATCGGTTCCGAGTATACAATCCTGCTTCACGCCAATGACTTCACGAAGCATTCGGAGCAGCCTTCCAACCTGTGCCTTGCAATCTTGAACAACCGACCGACCAACCAACATCAACTAGCCAACCGGCCGTCTGCGACAACATTTTGAAGAACCGACAACGGAAGCAAACGAACGGCAGAACGGCATGGTCCTCTTGAGCATGGACAGTCGACGCAACGATGCTCCAAACGTTCTAACTGGTGGTAGGCAAGACAAGAGAGGCGAGACGACAGCTAGTCGACTCAACCAAACCATCAATAAAAAGTGGACAGCGGTGTTTTCTCGTGGCGAGTCCGGAGTGAAACAAGATTCGATTTCGACTTTTTCGGAAACGGCTCTTTGGAGGAGAAGGTTCGAGGTTTCGAGTAGACTCGACTCGGGGTGGTGCGAAGAGGCCGGCACCGTACAGTCGTACGGTAGTCTACTTTCACAACTGTCTTTCCTTCCTTCGAGATTTGAGCACAGTTGCTCAGGATCCTAGCTAGCTAAGAGGCTCTCGCTACCGTACCGGTACAGTACGGTACTGCACAAGGACGGCACGAAAGCTCTTTTCCCCGGAAGCATTGATAGCATTCGCCTCGAGGACGAGTGGTTCGTAATGTGCTACCGGTACCTGGTACCGGCACTGTAGTAACAGCTAAACCAGCCAGCCAGTCGAGCGAGTTGTGCCGAGACCGAGCTGAATCTTTCCCAGCCAAGACTTTTTGTAAACGACTTGTGAGCTGCCTTTCCAGACGTAATCAACTCTAGCATCCCGGCACAGTACGGGATGAGAACGCGGGGACAAGCAAAATGCAGGCACCGGCAAGTGCTGCACTTCTTGGTAAAAGGCTGTTCGTGTGTACCGGTAGTAGTCCGCTCGTCGTTCGAGGCAGAGGACCACCGAGTCGAGTCCAGCCTCTACAGTATCTCTACTAGCTAGCAAGAGGAGCAAGTTTGTAGAACGCTTGTAGTCAAAACTACAGTACGTACCAAACAAAGTCGGCCAACAAGCCAAGAACGAGTGGGAAATGGCAGAGCTGACACGAACATGAAGTCTTTGATTGATTCGTAGTGTACCGCAGAATCAAGATGAGATAGTACCTTCACGGCACGGTGGAGGATCCTGAAAAAGGCAGATGAGTAACCGTACAGTACATTGCACCCACAAAGAAATAATTGAATCAATGCAGGCAGGCAGGCAGGCAGGCATCCAGGCATCCACCCATCCATCAAACATGCAGAGAGACCAAATAGATAAGACAACCAAAATTAGCAATACTAGTCGTTACATTTCTCTTGAGTGGCTGCCACAAATTGGGAAAAAGATAGCCTGGTTGTTGTTGTTTGTGATCCTCTTTTGTGTGTACCGTACTGGCTGGCACTTGGTCATACATTTTCCATTCATTTTGAATATTATTCGAAGGCTCCCCTGCTCACCCAAAGCTTCCATCCGTTGTTGTGTGTGTGTGTGTATGTTTTTTGTTTGTGTGTATTCTAGAACCTTGCCGAACTGGTGGTGAGTTTGGTTTCTGCCTGTACTCTTGGTAATTTCTGTGTCATTTCATAAAACAATTCTCGAATATTATAACCAGCTTTGGCAGACACTTGCATGAATTCGGTTTTGGATTGCAGTGCCGTCTTTTCCATTTCCAACCAAGACACCTTTCGATCATACAATGGCATGTCGACTTTAGTAGCGACCAACCAAATGACGACATCATCTCCCCGAATTTCCCGTACTTCCTTGATCCACTTTTGAATATTGTCGAATTGCTCGCGATTGCTAATATCAAAGGTAATCACCGCCACGTGCGAATCACGAATATACGATGGAATGCTCGCTTTGAACCGTTCTTGACCCGCCGTATCCCACAGTTGAAGCTTGACGTGACGCGGGTCGGATTTCGATTCGCCGTCGTCATCTTCATTGGGGATCTTCATCGTCTTGCTCACAAAATCCACACCGACTGTCGCCAAGTACCGCTTGGGAAACGTGTCATCGATCGCTCGTTGAATAATGCTCGTCTTGCCTGACTCTTGGTCACCCAAAAATACCAACTTGTACTTGCGGACATCCGAGGCAGGAAGAGCTGCAGCCACGGGGCGGGAGGACATCTTTGCTTTTGCTAGCTAGTTAGAGCTCAAGGGTGTACAGTCGTAGAGGGAAGGAAAGAAACAACCACAAAAATGAAGGAGCCAACGAGAATGCTTGTTGAAGGTGGTGATCTCTTGGTGCAATCCGTGGCATCCGCCCTGCGGCACACGTGAACCGAAATTTCTAAATGGGATCCGTGCCCACCTCAAAAGAGTCGGTGATTGAAATACAGTAGAGCTTGGGTTAATTCGATTGAATAGTTCGATTATTCGGCTGAGCTGATTGACTACAGTACCGCACAGGACCGGCGTGAAGGTTAAGATACCGGCCGGTACGGACAACAATCTAACCCATAGTTTTGCCGCCCTTCAAGGTGTCAATCATGGTGCTGTGGCTGTAATATCCATTCAAGAGAGCGCTAGCTAGATGTACCGACACCATCATCTTCCTAGGGCTCTCACTGGCGTCTGTATTCTAAGTTATCAGGCTCAATCAAATTGTTCCACCAAAGTCTCAGTAGTACTGCACGGCACATCTTCACCAGTCCAGCGGCAGCAGTCACAGGAAATCCCACAGTAGGTCCCATCCCCTATTTTGTACTCTCTCAAGCTCTCCTTTGAGTTGCCAGAAGGCTCAAATTCAGGCGGGAACAGGAAACACACAGCGGCTTTGTCAGCACCACCACAAGTGAGCAGTTCGAAGCCAGCCAGCCAGCCAGCCAGGTCCTCCGATCATCCCAGTCGTCATCACCTCGCTCCACCAGCCACTACGGTACCCCAAGGTCTGAGAAGATGATGATCAATCTTTCATCTCCATCACATTTTTCAAGGGCGTAAGTAGACTAACGTAGTCCACATCTTTGCACTGGGCGAAAGAGCTTGTCATGAACGAACGGAGGCAGCTAGGACCCCCGAAGTTGTCGCTATTTCAAGTACTGACGTTGTCAAGCCACTGATTTCGTGCTCTAGCTAGCTAGCTACGACGGTAACTGATACACTTACTTATTGCGCACCCTTTGTGTTGTTTATAGGTTCTTCTTGGGGTTTTCTTTTGCCCTGTCTTGTGCGAGATTGCTTGCTCTTGAGAGGAGCAGCACAGTTCTTCAACTCCGTTTCTAGCACCAACCAATGTTGCTTCAGCTGGCTGAGTTGAAGTACTGTACTTGCAAAGCTTCACAACAACGTATGTGCAGTTCCTTAGCGATGCATCAGAGCATCACTGGAAAATATCAGTCGGTATTCAACGTAGATGTACTAACTCAGGCATCATGCCAAGCCAACCGCTCTGGGGTGTGTCCAGAAGGACTACGTGTACGTAGTCTAGCTACTAGCCACGGAAACTCCAGTGACTATCCTCGAAGCGGGTTTCAAAGAAATTCATGATCGGACACGGAGACCTGGATGAGAGTGGCGATTTGAGCACTTTTAGTTTTCCCACAACAACTGCTAGCCAACTGTTGACACGCTGGGTTACTCGGCATTTTGTCCCAAAAGTTCCCAACTACCGCCTGTTTGGCCCGGCCAACTTGTTTTGGCGATGCTGTGTCAAACATTACTCAAGGACCGAAGTAGACCTTCCCCACTTTGGTGACATTCTTAGACATTGCAAGACCGGAGACATAGCAAAATGTCTCCAGGCATTCGGTAGACAAAGTGAGACAAAGTGAGACATTGGGTAGACAAAGTGAGACAAAGTGAGACAAAATGAGACAAAGTGAGACAAAGTGAGACATTTGGTAGACAAAGTGAGACATTGGTAGACAAAGTGAGACAAAGTGAGACAAAGTGAGACATCTAGGCTAGGCCGATGCTGCTTTCGCCAAAACAACAGCTTTCGCCAAAACAACAGACTTCCAACGTGAAGACTTCCACGTTACCCCCTGCTTCTACCCACGGCTGGCCATCACGCCATCACCACAATATCACAGCCTGCCATCACGATAGCTGCCATCACGATAGCTATGCTGGCATGGATCATCACGATAGCTCTATCCATTCCAGCTATCGTGATAGCCAGCCAGCACGAGAATATCTGATGGATAGCCAGCCATCAGATCCATCACGATCTGATGGATAGTCAGCCATCAGATATTCTGATGGATAGCCAGCCATCACGAGAAGCCAGGATAGCTAGCTAGCTGGCTAGTACTATCACCTGTACATGTACTATCTACCGTATCTTGGCAACTAGCTACAACTCCACCTACCACCGTATCTTGGCAACTAGCTACAACTCCAGCATCGTGGCAACTAGCTACAACTCCAGCCGATGAGATCTGATATCGTGGCAACTAGCTACAACTGATCGTGGACGGAAAGCTTGCTTTGCATTGCTTGCTTTGCGTCACAATCCGGTTTCTTCATTCATTCGATCTCTCCAATCTCGTTCATTCATTCATTCATTCAATCTCTCCAATCTCGCACAATCCGGTTTCTTCAGTCTTCATTGAACTTCAGTCTTCATTGAACGCAATCATTCTTCAGTCTTCATCTTCGCAATAAGTAGCCACCATTGCAAGTAGCCCCCCCTTCGCTCCTCTCCTACTTTGTATTTATTCCAACCCATCAACCTGATGACATCTACCAAACCTCCCCCCAGGGGCAGGCGAGCAAGTACAAAGGTGAAGACTGCAGCATCCGCGGCTGCAAGTAAAGCCAACGGGAAGAAGAAGAAAACACGTCACCCGCCCCAAAACCTCATTGGTGCAACTTTTGTCACCATTCTTGGAGAGGATGACCAGCCTGTCTTACAAGGAACACTCCAAGAAGCAGAGCAGAGGCAGTTGGTCCGTGTCAAGCTGTCAGAAGTTGATGATGCTGCCTTGCAAGGTTTGTTGAATAAACTGGATGTAGCTAACAATTCAAGAATCCCACGCGACCTGTACAATATGCTGGAGAAAAAACCAACAAATTGTACAGTGATCGAACCAGTGTCAAGCATCAATCTACTTGATGACGATGCTCCTCCAGCTCCTCCAGCTTCTGTGTCTGAAGTCGCCCCTGTTCCAGCTCCTCCAGCTTCGGTGTCTGAAGTTGCCTCTGTCACCCCTAATGTCACCCCTACTCAAGCTTCTGCGTCTACAGAACAACGCATTGCTAAGATGCCCAGTGGACAATTTAAGCGGCTGGCAAGAAAGTCCACGGGTGGGAAAGCACCCAGGAAAATCCACTTCCAACAACCTTCCGAGCCTACCGAAAATGAGCCTACCGAAAATGAGGCAGCCAAGCAGATGACATCCACCAAGGCAACATCCACCAAGGCAACATCCGCCAAAGCAACTGAAACATCCGCCAAGGCAACTGAAACGGAGGCCAACCCCAACAAGGCTCCTCCTGGTAGTGTGAGTGCTGCAACTGGTTCTGCCAAGGCAACTGAAACGGAGGCCAACCCAACAAGGCTCCTCCTGGTAGTGTGAGTGCTGCAACTGGTTCTGCCAAGGCAACTGAAACGGAGGCCAACCCCAACAAGGCTCCTCCTGGTAGTGTGAGTGCTGCAACTGGTTCTGCCAAGGCAACTGAAACGGAGGCCAACCCCAACAAGGCTCCTCCTGGTAGTGTGAGTGCTGCAACTGGTTCTGCCAAGGCAACTGAAACGGAGGCCAACCCAACAAGGCTCCTCCTGGTAGTGTGAGTGCTGCAACCAACCCCAACAAGGCTCCTCCTGGTAGTGTGAGTGCTGCAACTGGTTCTGCCAAGGCAATGAAACGGAGGCCAACCCCAACAAGGCTCCTCCTGGTAGTGTGAGTGCTGCAACTGGTTCTGCCAAGGCAACTGAAACGGAGGCAACCCCAACAAGGCTCCTCCTGGTAGTGTGAGTGCTGCAACTGGTTCTGCCAAGGCAACTGAAACGGAGGCCAACCCCAACAAGGCTCCTCCTGGTAGTGTGAGTGCTGCAACTGGTTCTGCCAAGGCAACTGAAACGGAGGCAACCCCAACAAGGCTCCTCTGGTAGTGTGAGTGCTGCAACTGGTTCTGCCAAGGCAACTGAAACGGAGCCAACCCCAACAAGGCTCCGCCTGGTAGTGTGAGTGCTGCAACTAGTTCTAACCATACCAAGACCAAACCCAGGCCCAAGGGTATCCATCGAAGCATCCATGATTCTGAGGAACAAGACGAAGAGTGTGCGGTACGTATCAAGGAAAAGCTTGTTCGTACTGGAAGGGAGCATGTGTTTGACAAGAACCATTTCCCATCTCATCTTTTGAGCGATCCACTCTTGCCCTTGAAACGTGCAATGACTGTTGCCAATTTGGTCAAAATGGGATTTGGACCTCAGTTGGAGGAGATCTACGATCAGCACGGTAAAAACTATGCTGATGAAGCACACCTGGACAATGGAGATCCAACTCCAAACGTCAACCAAAGTGAAGACATCAACTCTGGAGAAGATATCAACGCCCAAGCCCATGTCAGGAATATCCAAGGTCTGGTACGTCCAAAGCCCAAAACTACTGCCAGGCGTGCCATTGAGGAAAACGACGAGGACGAGGAAGTTGATCTGGAAGATACTTCCGAAGAAGGGGAAACAAGCAGCTATTCAGCTGACACCGAGGACAGTGATGATGAAGCTTCTGAGCTAGAGGCCAAGGAGATGCCAGAGAAAGCTAAGCGTGGCACAAAGAGTTCATCCAAGAATCTTGGGAAAACAGGAAAGAGCAAGGGCAAGAAGGCAAATGGCAAGAAGGCAAATTCCAATCATTCTGGTGACTCTGATTCTAGTTCCTCGCGCCAAAAATCCAAACCCCGCCGTGCCAGTGCCAGTTCTAAGAAGAAGCGTGCCAGTTCCAAGAAGAAGGGCCACCGCAACATGTCTTCATCGTCAGAGGAGGAGTCAGTGAAGAGATCTGCGCGGAAAGCTGGCTCTCGGCCTCTATCCATCCGGCAGATGGATGATGCAAAGACCCGACGCAAATTGTGTGAGCTGGAGAGGCCTATGTCAATGCTCCAACGCATGTCCCTGCCTGTTTCCAGAACTGATGATTTTGATCCCAATAAGAAATCACACAAGCAGATGAAGCAGAAGGCAAAGAATTGGCCATCGGTGATCCATGGATGTTTTACTTTGAGCGACAAGCTACCAAATGAAGATGGCCACAATGGTGATGATTTGCAGGGACCCCGAAAGCTTACTTTTTGGACTGGATCTAAGCACTCTAGTCGCAGAATGAAGCGTTGGTTGATGAATGATGATGAGAAATATGACATTGAATATGTGGCTGACTTCAATTCTTTCTTGAACTCCCGCCGCTCTGAGTCTGCACAGCAGAAGAACCCCCCTCCCAGGCGTGAGGTAGCACAGGACAGTGAGTCCAGTGAGGAGAGGCAAGCAACCAGCGAAGAGAGAAGAAGAAAGAAAAGCAACAGGCCATGAGAAAGCGAAGCAACAGCGAAAGAGCCAAGAAGAAAAGAAAGAGCCAGGACAGTGAGTCAGTGAGGAAGAGCGCAAGCAACCAGCGAAGAAGAGAGCAAGCAGAAAAGAAAGAGCCAGGACAGTGAGTCCAGTGAGGAAGAGCAAGAAGAGCGCAAGCCAGCAGCCAAGAAAAGAAAGAGCAGAAGACGCAGCAAATGAAGGCAGCAAATGAAGGCGACAGCAAATGAAGGCGACAGCAAATGGCGACCGTTGCCCCGGAAGCCCCACCAATCATAGAGGAAGCTATATTTGCAGCTCCAATAACAATTAAGAAACAGAGGATTATGAACATGCCGCGTTTGTAGCAGTGGTGCCAAGTGCTCTAGCAAGCTACTCAGCTACTGAGAGTGCTGTGTTCATGACGAGAAAGCCAAGACCCTGCTCCCATGCTCAGGCTAGGGATGCCACCTACTCAGCTACTCAGAGTGCTGTGTCCATGACGAGAAAGCCAAGACCCTGCTCCCATGCTCAGGCTAGGGTGCCACCAATTTGATTGGATTCTATGAGAGTTCTGGTTACACCTATATACCGGCTGCTCACACCTTCACTGCTTACACACGGTTGGTTGCTCTGTTCACACTGTTGTTTGCTCACACCTATATACGACAACCTCCTGTTGTCATCCTGTTGTCATGTTCCACAACCTTCTGTTGTCATCCTGTTGTCATGTTCCTTTTGTAACTTCTGCCAGCTAGCTCAAGGTTGTCTGTCATCACGTAAGCTTGGCTTTAATGCAGCCATCTATAGTATCGTCTATGTAGCCCGCAAACTTTACAGCGTTCTTCTTGCTTTCCACGAAGAAGACAATATCTTTCAAGCCACTGTTGTCCAAAGCCCAGGAATAGACGGCAAGCACAGCTACTTCCATCATCTTGTGAAGTTTCAGATCACCACGAGAGGATCCAGATGCCAGCAAGGGCAAGGCAACTTGGTTAATGAAGGGATGGGACTTCGCCTCATTGAGGATATTCTCATAAGTCTTGCAAAGTAGATTGCTGGCTTTGCGAATATGATGGGGCTCGGTGCATCGAGTGAAAGAAGGAGCGACTGTCAAGAGAACATATGGTGTCATCAATAGATCATAATCATTAGGGCCAAGAACCCTCGCCTCAGCCATGCCACAACGAACTCCTTTTTCCTCAGGTAGATTGTTTCGGCCTTTCAAGTATTGCTGTGGTGTACAACGTCTTTTGTAGTAATAGAACCTTCTCTGTAGGCCTCGACGCAGATCAGATCCCTTCTCTCCGTACGTTGAAGGCTTCTCCTCTACCAATTGTTGGAGGCTGAACTCCTCTCTGGTTTTGTTACTGGCCTCCACGTCCTGGAGCAAGCTTTTTATGACATAATCTGGTAGCGACATGATAAAAAGAGGAACAAGAAGAAATGGGTTCCCTTGGTCCATCAAAACTTTGCCGCAATTTTTTGCGATCCTCAACTGACTCTGGCAGCTACTTGAAATATGGTTATTTAGCAAAACCTTGGATTCCTGCTCGTATGTGAAAAGCTTTCTATGCTATCTATAGAGCAAAAATTGCAAGCTGCAAGCTTCAACCGACTCAACAAGTGGTATGTTTGGCAGCTACTTGGAATATTGTTATCTAGGAAAACCTTGGATTCCTGCTATAGTTCCCGTGTGTGCAAAAATTACAAGCTTCAACCGACTAGTTGGAGATGTCCAAGGAAAATCTTGGTTTCCTGCTAGAAAACCTTGGTTTCCTGCTATTACTCGTGTGTGCTGCAACCGCAAATGCTGCTGCAACCGCAACTGAACTTGTAGCCGACTCAGGCAGGACCTTCTGGGTACCTGGGTCAACCTCCAAACACGAATTACATACATCACGCCCAATCTCCGGTGACATGGAAGCTTTGGAGCTACACTGTAGCTATGGAAGCTTTGGAGCTACACTGTAGCTAGCTATAGCTACATCTATGTCAAGCTCCCAGAGCAATGCCAAACCCGAATGCATGCCGACACGAATGAATACAATCGGTACCAGCTTCCAGCAAGTTGACTACCAGACCAGCTACGGTGACTAGACTAACCAGACTAACCGAATCAATCTAACCCTGCCACAAGTAATTTTATAATCTTATTGGGCCATCCTGGTACATGGGTGGGCGTGGTACATGGCAACATAGGCCCACCTTCTTGCGACCTACTATGGGACGTCTTCAGTTGCTGGAAGGCTTCAGTTGCTGGAAGGCTTCAGTTGCTGGAAGGCTTCACATCACATCAAATCAAATAGGTTGACAGTGCAGGACCAAAAAGAAGAGTGAGGGTGGTACAAGTCAATGTTGCTGAAGTCAATATTCAAGTCCTGGGTCACATAGAGAGACTGAACAATGAACATTGCGGGGTCCTCCTCGGTGTAAACAAATTCCCTTTCATTAACCAAGGGGAGATGATCCAGACCAAATCCTGCGAGTTCAGGGCATTGAAGTGGGAACAACTACATGAGGTTGCACCTACATGAGGTTGCTTCTCAGAGGACGGCTGGAATTGTGAAACTTTGTCATTTTGACAGCTTCCTGACTTATTTATCAAACTAGGGCTAGCTAGCTAGCTAGACCGAAGCACTTTTGAATCGAATTTACAAGGAAGCACTTTGGAATCGAATTTACAAGGATTTCAACTCGTTTACACTACTAGCAGCTAACCAACCATGACAAGGGCCATCCAAGCTCGCTCAGATCCATGCAGCCAAAACAGTTATCACTTCCTACACTTCTTCCATCTTTAGTTGTGCTCCTCACGATCACTTCCTACACTTCTTCCATCTTTAGTTGTGCTCCTTGTGCTCCTCATTAGCCATCCTCAACACCCAGAGCTAATGCCTTCCATGGCATTCGGGTCATGGAGGGATCTCTTGGTCCTACCTTGCCAGTCCACAGACCGGTAAGTTTTCACACCCGAATCATCGTTTTTCTTTCGGGCAATGGTTAGCTCCGTGTTGATAAGAGCAAGAATCTCGGGGTTCCTGCGAACTCCACACTCAGCAAGTAGCTCAGCAAGTGCAACCATGGCCAGTTCCACGTCAGCATGTTGTTGCACAAGTGCGTGTTCAAAGCTTGTTGGTTCGGTCCATTTGTTACGGACAGAGCTACTCAAGACACGGGTTACTTTCTCCACACCCTCATGGGCAACAATGACATTGCAAGTTGAACTCTTGATGGCTCGGTTCATCCATCCAGTGCATCCCTTGTAAGTGCCCCTGATGAAACGGATTTCTTTGCCTTTTTGGGGTTCTTTGCCTTTTTGGGTTTCAGTTGGTCCTGACATTTTGAAAGCTTGCCTTCAGAAGATTATGAGCTGGTCTACAGAAGAGTTGGCTGTGGCAGATTGCTAGTTTGCAGAAGAGTTCGGCTGTCGCAGATTCTGGTGACGCTGTCTCAGAAATATGCTGTGAGCTAGTAGAATTATGCTGACCTAACCTTCATCCAGAATTATGCTTACCCTCATCCAGTCCTCTGTACCGGGCTTCAATTAAACCACCTATTGGCACCGGACTAGCATCTCCTCGCTTTGGGTTTTTTGTGTTCCACAATCCAGGCAGACAGAAAGGCAACACAGAAATGGAAGAATCGAACTGGGGACCTTCATCGCTTTGAGGTTTTCATGGGCCCACAAGGTGTCAACACAGAATCAGCTAGTAGTTCCAGTCCGTGGACCACTGGTCTCGCCACTCCTGGTACTAGCTAGTATCCCACTCTAGCTCTAGCGTCAAGTAAGTAAGTCTGCACATCTGCACATCGCCCTCTCCACATGGCCTATTGGCGAATGGAAGCAAAAATCCTTCTGGCGAATGGAATGCAAAAATCCTTCCCGCCCATCGCCATGTCCACAGGGATCCCTCGCTTCTCTAGCTTGAGAGCTAGCTAGCTACTAGCTGGCATAAATTGACCAACCAGGAATCCTGAAGGCAACTACTTGAAACACAGCAACTACTTGAAACACGCCTACTTACCAGCAAAAATGCTAGTGCTTTCACCTATGGATGTGCAACAACGGGGGCTGAAAATCATGAAGGTTCAACGGCCAGAGAGGAAGAACCAAAAATACCTACAAAGACAGTTCCGGAAGCACTTTGGATCCTCACCCCTTGACTTGGCTGAACAGTGGCATGATCTTTGTCACTGGGAGCAGGAGAAAGACAATTCAGAGTTGTACAAGCTTTGTGAGTGGGAAAATGGCAAGCTGCCAAAGACAGCCAAAATGGAGCAAGGCTTTCAAGGATTTCTAGCTGCCCACTATTGGTTGTGGACAAGGCCCAAGAATGCAGTAATGTTTGCTTCCCGTTTTGGATGCTGTGAGAAGTATGTACAAGGAAAGTATTTGTGGAGATGGATTGGGCGAATTGCATCCTTGGAGAAAAAGAAGATTGTTTGGGACGGATCCCTGGATGAAAAAGGCATGGAGATCTTTGCTGTTACGGCTGATGGGGTTGATTTCCCAATTTGGGAACGGAAGGATGCAAACCTCCCAATGGACCCCAAAAACATGTCCCACAAATTCAGAGGTTGTGGAGCTAAGTACGTCATTGTTTTGTCCACTCACCGATCCAAATGTGTTCACATTGCTGGTCCATTCCGAGGCGGAAAGGGTGATATTGACATACTAAGAGATACTGGCTTGATGGACAAGTTGGAGAGGAATAACAAAGTTTGTATTGTGGATAGAGGTTTCAAGACCAAGTATGTGCAGGAGAAGAAAGTGCTTGCCTACCCTGACTACATTGATTCATCGGAGCTCCACAACTTCAAATCCCGTGCACGTTGTCGACAGGAAACCTTTAATCGACGGTTGAAGCATTTTGAGAGTCTCTCAATCACTTTCAAGAATGGTTTTGAAAAGCAGGGAATTGCTGTCAGGGCTGTTGCTGTGACCGTCCAATATCAAATGGACAATGGCTCCCCCCTCTACGATACCTAATATTTAATAGTTCCAACCAATAATAACTAGACTAGTAGTATTTAGGAGAATTATGTTTACGTGTACGTAGTAGCAGCCGCGTGCCATGTGCCATGCCCAAGTTGTGTGCCATGCCCAAGTTGACGTAGCAGCACAAGTTGATGTACTGCTACATCAACGTGCCATGCCCAAGTTGAGCACGGTAGCTTCAATACTATAATTTCCTGTCCAAGTTGAGCATGGTTCCTGTCCAGCCTTAGCTTCTTATAAGCTAACTTCCTCTTCAGCCTTAGCTTTCTTTGCAGCCTTAGCTTCAGCCTCAGCTTTCTTTGCAGCCTTAGCAGCAGCCGCTTTCCTATAAGCTACCCTCTTTTCAATTCTCTTTTGTTCTAGCCAATTTAAAAACTTGTTCCGTCGAGCCTCCTGGTAGATTCGTTGACGAAAGATATCTAATTTGTACTTCCCATAGACCTCTCTATATTGGTGGAGCTCCTGTGGCAGCATTCGTTCATTCAGCTTGTATTTCACATCATAACGAAGTGTCTCCTTAGCTTCAATATCCATGTCGAAAACAGGCTCCCCTCTCGCATTGTGAGTCTTGCGTGGATAGAGCTTTCGATCATGTTTCATCCATTCTTCTTCTTGAGCTGACCTAGCTCTCCTTTGGGCTGCTCTGTCCACCTTCTTTTTAAAATTGGTTTCAAATTGATCAAAAGGGACATCAATAAAGAATTCTGCGTGTTCGGATCGTAAGTACACATCATAAACAAGCTTTGCATCAAGGTTGTCCTGGCCATAAAGCCATCCATCTTGTTCTAAATCTTCGTCCAGAATTTCCTTGGCAGGGTGATGACGCCAATCAATATGTTTGTCTTTCATTGCCTTCTTTTTTGCTTCTTCAGCTGCTTTGGCAGCTTCATGTGCTGCTGGATCTTTCAAATATTCCTCCAGACGCTTTTGCAACTCCTCCTTTTTCCCATTGGCTTTCAAACCTCTTTCTTTGCATGCCTTCTGGAGCTGACGATACGTCATTGAAGAGGGGTCATCCTGCATGGGGACATCTGCATCATTTAGTTTTCTCTTTTTCTGCATGGGGACATCTGCCATGCTAGCATCCTCAGCCATGCTAGCATCCTCAGCTACTCGTATACTAGCATCCTCAGTCCTGATATCCTCCATGCTAGCATCCTCAGCCCTGACATCCTCCATGGTCGTGATGTTTGTTGGTCGTGATGGTTTGTTGGTTCTTTGTTGATGGTTTGTTGGTTCTTTGTTGGTGCGTGGAGCCGGGATGTAGTTCTTTGTTGGTGGAGCCGGGAGTTTCAGCGAGGTGTTAACTCCAGTTGCTGTGAACTGTTATGTTACTGTAACTCCAGTTGCTGTTAACTAGCTAGTAGCCAGTAGCCAGTAGCTAGAGAGTAGCCAGTAGCTGTTAGTAGCGAGTACATTGTAGCTGTTAACTCCAGAGTAGCCGTTTGTCTACTGGTTTGTCTACTGGTTTGTCTACCGGTTTGTCTACTAAATTGGTAGACAAAGTGAGACAAAGTGAGACAAAGTGAGACAAAGTGAGACAAAGTGAGACAAAGTGACACATTAGCAGACATTTGGTAGACAAAGTGAGACATTGGTAGACAAAGTGAGACAAAGTGAGACAAAGTGAGACATAGTAGACAAAGTGAGAAAAAAGGAGACATTCAGAGACCTCGCCAAACTTGATTTGGACTTTGTTCGACCAATTAGACAAAAATAGACATCAAAACAGAGCAAAGAATAAGGCACTTCCTGTTAGGAGCATTGAACATTTAAACTACCACAATTTATTTTACAACAGCCCACAAAAAGACTTTTTTGGACAAAATGCCGAGTAACCCTGCCAAGATGGAGATTTGGCTAGCTAGACAGAGTTGGTGTGCGGTGCCGTGAAGGTAGTCTACCGGTATCTATCTTCTCGCTTCACCACAACATAGCTAAGCATTCGAAAAAGCCTGTTCGACCTCCCACCAACGATCAAATCTAGCTCGATGAGACTTGGCTTCGGACCAATGTACCTGGTAGTATGTCCCGTACCCAACGTGGCTGCCTTTGCTGCTAACTAGCCCTAGCTAGCTAGTTCGGGTTCACGACAAGCTCCCCCTCGATTGGAATATTCGGGACTGTCCCTGCAAGATCAGGATATTTCGTGATAGCTAGCCAGCTAGCTAGCTAGCTAGCTAGTAGCTAGACTTCATCTTAGCGGTCCTGGCTGCATCTGTTGGTCAGCTACTGGTGGATACTGCTGTAGCGGTGATAGCACCAATCCTGGAAAGAGTTAAAAGACTGAAAACACTTCATAAAACTGAAGCTCCAAAGCATTGTTAGCCTAATGGTCACTACAAAACTCAATCCAAAATCCGTCCCATGGGGGCTGACAAAAGCATGGAGGTCTCGTCTCCGTCCTTGCCACTTGATTGGGCTAGTACTGTTGCTCTTGTTTGGAAGCGCATGGTCTGTCCTCGTGAGGATGGTGCGTGCTGTGGCAGAAACCTAAAAATACAAGCAACAAACCAGGCAAAGAACTCTGTGGAGCATGAGCATGTCCTTGACTGTGCGGCCCAGACAATAAATGTTCCAGGAGTGAATGTTGCCCTGTACAAAACCTGTATTGCTCCGCCCTTTGAGATGAATGTGCACTCTGGAAATGAAATGATTTCCAGGGGTATTGAAACCTTGGGCTGTTTTGAGTGTGGTGTCTTGAAGAAGTTGATGCGATTCATGGAGCAGACACCACCGGATACATTCTTCCTTGACATTGGTGCAAACATTGGCATGTACAGTTTGCACGCAGCTGCATGGGGGCGAGATGTGTTTGCCTTTGAACCATTTCAAAGGAACTACCAGCGAATTTGCAAATCAATTTCCATGAACAATGGCTTTGAGGAAAGACTCATTGTATTCAATGTTGCCCTCACGGACCATCCAACAACCATTGGGTTTGGGAGTGTTACTGAAGAGAACTTTGGTGGGATTCATGTGAAGGAAGAAGAGGCTTCACAGGGAAAATCATCTGGTGCTCCTGTACGTGGAGTAGACTATGCTCCAGGAATCCAGCTCTCTTCACTGAAAAGTGTGTTGCCTTTGAATCGCCCTGCTGTCATCAAGATTGATGTGGAGGGTAGTGAGTGTGGAGCTTTGAGTGGTGCCATGGATTACTTGCATGCCCTAGATATTCTCTATGTCGCAATTGAATGGTCCGAGGCAATGCTAAACTGCGAGCATGCCGATGCTATCTTCGAGTTGTTCGGGAAGAACAGGCTATCTCCCTATCAGTACATCTACTTTGAAGATATTTGGAGGCCGCTCAAAGTCACCGAGTGGCGCAATTGGCGCAATGATCCGCACATATTTGAGGTCTTGAAGAGTCATGCCATGGATATTGCATGGATTCGAGAGCATGCATGAGTAGAGTACTAGTAGAGTTGTTTTGATTAATTAACAAGAGTTTATGGTAGAATCTACATGTAGCTTGGTCTACACCTAGATCTTGACATAGGCTGCAGGCTTTCGGGAAGTTAATCTGTTGGCGGCCGTCACACTGCTCCCCTGAGTTGCGCCAAGTGGGACAGTACCAGAAGAGTTTGGAAAATTGATTCCATTGAGGTAAACGGAACAGGGCACGATCAGGATGGCGGAAAAGGAAGCTGCACTTCTGGTCTACCTGCTGGAATCAGTTGCTTTTTCGAGCCCATGCTAGCCTGGCTGTCGTTCGCCGTAGTCGCATGCTGTTTTACTGCCTGAACGTCAGGCAGCAAATAAGACAATGGCGAGAATGACAGCGCCAGCCACCAATAGACCGACTGGGGTGATCCATGCAGACGGCAACTCGTTCTCGTGAGTGACGATCAGCGATGATTCCTGCTGCTGATCTTGTTCGTCGTCGTTGAGACGGGTTCGGTAGGAGGAAGAAGATAGTATGCCGAGAGACGTAGAACCTCGGGACGCATGCCTTAGTCCAAGCTCGGCCAGTTCGAGTTGTTGCAGATCCCAGTCTGAGGGCATATCCGAAACGCGCTGGCGTTGAAGATCGTGGTTGTTCACGACGTGATACTCGGTTGCAGCCGGATGATATTCGTCCCGAAACTCCTCGGACTCATTATCCGGCTCCTGCACATCACGAAGCAAAAGCGAGGAGCTGCCGCAACCACCGCCCACCCCGTCGCTGCCGAACGCGAATGATTGCTCAGAGGCATGGCCAGCCGCGTTGCTGCTCGCCTGCGCTGGCGACCCCTGCTGCTGAAACGTCGACTCCTGCTGCGAAACGGTGGGATCGTTCTGGCTTTGACTGCTGTTGTTCAGCAACAAGGAACCTTGCGAACGACCCTCGGACGGAGGAGGAGTTGTCAACTCGGGAAGTGACGACGAGATATTTGACTCTCCTGATTCTTGCCTGTTCAAGTTGGTGGCAATTGCTGTGGCTTCCGAAGCAGGTACAGCTGTTGTTGTCATGGTGGTTCGTAACTGATCCAGCAGAGAGCCAGGCCGAGGCTGGGCTTGGAGTTGATGATGAGTGGCAGCAGCTTGTTTTTGGCGGGCTTGTGCAGCAGCACGCATCGTAGGAAGGGATGGCTGGGACTTTGATCGCCGCGGAGAAGTTGGAGGCGGAGCAGGAATCACATTCACGGCATCCACAATATCTAGTTTCTGTCGGGATGTTCCCTCCTCGTCGGAAGACGAAGACGAAGCGTCGTCATTGTTGTCGTATGAACCTGCGGAATAAGATGTTCGTAGTTGGGGCAATGAACCCGTGCTCTTCTTTGCGCGAAAGGTAGGCATCTTCATTGAGAGACTCCTTTTTGGACTGCGGCGGGTCCGCAGGAAACGAGGGGAGCTTCCACTCAAATTCAAGCTCCGAAGCCGTCTCGACTGGTTTGGGGTCACCGGTTGTTGCCTTGGTGTGAATTCTGCGCTACGCCAGCTGCTACGCCTACCCCGAACAAAGCTGTTCACCGGCAAGGAAGCCGACATGGGAGAGGGCGGCACGTGGTGTCCTCTGCGGTGATCTGAAGTCTGGTGAAGCTTTCCTTGGCTTTGCTGCCCAGTGTTGAAGGCGGGCATCCTTGACATTCTACCTCCTTGACTTCCAGTCGTCCCCTGCTCCGAGGGTGTTGCTTGCATGGACGCATCCGCCATCGACAAATCAACAGAAAACGCGGAAACTGAAGCTTCCATTTCATTGAGCTCCTTTGCCATCGATTCCAGGATCTCTTTCTTCACCTTTTGCCTCAATTCGTGGACCATTTCTTCCTCTGAGCGAACAACTTCAGCTGCTATAACTAGTTGACCAGCTTGATTCTCCGTGCTCCCGTCCTTCATCTTGTCGCTCGAAGACTGCTTGCCCCCCGCGTCATCATGGTGATTGCGCCGTCTTCGGCAGTCATCCTTATTGTTGTAACTGGCAGCCGAGTCTCTACCAGCTCCCGCAGAATTTCTCCTGCCGTGACGTCGACGTGTCCTTGTTCGGCGCCGTCTGGCACTGCTCACGTCGGAATCGTCTTCGTTCAATGGCGGGGCAAACGCTGCAGGCATACTTGCAAAGCTAGCTTGGTAGTCCATTGCTGCGCTACTGCTGCCGCCCCCTTTGGACAAGCTCGTGGCACTCATTGCCGATCGAGATCGTAGCGGCACATCTTTTGGTTGTTTCTTTGCTGCGGGTTTCTTTTGTTGCTGTGCAGCAAACACTTCATCCGGATTGAGCGAAACCGTTGCTAGAGAATTGCCAAGACTAAAGGAACCATTGTTGTCCGTGTCATCCTTATTTTTGGCCGCCGGCTTTTTGTCATCTTCGTCTTTGTCATCATCACTGTCGTGATTCGACATGGATTGCTGAGAGAATTCGATTTCCATAATATCACTCATATCATCGCTGTCGGCGCTGCTAATACTACCCAAATCGGATCCGTTGTAACTGGAATGATTGTAACTGGCATGAAACGGCTGTTGTGGCGTTGTCGTCGGTTGTTGACGCATTTGAGCACTGACACTGTGTCGCGTAATGGATGCATGCGAGAATGTTTCCTTTCGCTCAAAGCCTCCTCCCGGTACCTTTTCGTAGGCTCCCGGAAGTGAGGCTGTCCCACCCGACGCGGCCCCTGCCGAATTGATACTCGCCCCCGAACAAGCGGCCACTTTATCGTGTTGTTGTTCCCGATCTTGGCTCATTTGCGCCAAAACGGCTTCTGCTTCTGCCCTGTCATTGCCCTCCATGGCCAATTTGGCTCGTGCCTTGGCAATCAGCAAGAGTACATCGTCTTCGTCCTCGTCTTCGATTTCGTCCCGTCCAGACGACTGACGACCCGCGGGGAGGGACGGTCGTGTATCGTTGTTGTTGTTAGTGTGATTGCTGTTGTTGTCCGAACCCAGCAACCGTTGTTTCGATTGAGCGTCATTCAAGGACCGCGTTTTCTTTGGCATCTGACGTGGATTATTCTTATTGGTTTTCTTGTTGTTGTGTGGTGACTGCATCTTGTTGTTGTTGTCGTAGTTGTCATCTTGGGACGACTCGTCCGAGGTCCCTTGGTCGGACGACGACGACGACGATCCCAGTAGATCACCACTACGTTTGTTCATGGTGCTTGGAATATCCGATTTGGATCGGTTGGCTTTTTTGAGACGAACCGGCCGTGTCGATACGGAGTTTCGTAGTTTGCTCACGCGTTCGTTCATACTGGCTTGTCGTCGCAGTGTTCTCGTAGGCCTGACAGGAGACCAATTGCTCGTGCCGTGGTGATACGTTGTCGATAGTTCATCCCTGCCGCGGTTCCGTGTTGCGTTATGATTATTGGCAAGGGTCGGACCAGATTTCATGAGTGGTTGAGACGCAGCACGTCGTATTCTGCGCCTGACGGTGGGTCTCGGGGTAGCGTTCTTGGGGGTAGTGTTCTTGGGAGTAGGGTCAAGGAAGGATCTGTTCTTATCCTGCTTGGGCGAACCTGCTGATCCCTCCCTTAATCTGATTCCATTCCTGGTAGCTTCATAGCTAGCAGCTAAGGATAACCCCTCAGCACCTAGATGCTGATGATGCTCATGACCTTGTTTTCCTCCCTTGACTGCAGCGGCTCCATGCAACCAGCGTGCCACGGCCTCAGTCGCCAAATAGGACCGTCTGTCTTCAGCATCTTCTTGGCTCTGGTAATCCGCAGATCTCTCATCTGCCTGAACGTGAGGATGAGGAGGACTCTTTCGCTGACCCACAGGAAGGCCCACAGCAAACGACGTACCGGTACCGTTATGCTGGGGATAAGATGCAACAGCAAGGGTATCTGGTTTTCCCAGTAATTGGGCAGAGACAGGTGGTTCTGGGTGCTCTTGTCCCCGATTCATCTCGCTGTTCCCGAGCCCCATAGCTTCTCTGTTTTCCGAGTCTTCCTGACACTGAATGCCTGTGCTAGCAGAGTCTACTATCGGTGGTGCCACTGGAAGCTGCTGATCCAAAGAGGAGAAGGAACAGGATGCGGTGGAATCAGTCGAACCAGACAGCTGCCAGTCCCTGTTGTCGTTAATACTGCTATTGCTATCCTTTGCCTCTGAGTTCTCGTGGGGATTGTCAATACTACCGGTACTAGAATCAATACCGTTGTGGATTTCTATCTCCTCCATCATGGATGGCCTTGATCAAGATAGAAGGGGAGGAAAAGTGCATAGACGGATACCCCACTTATACTTCTTCTATTAATAATAGCAGGACATACACAATGTCATGTACACAGCTGGTGGCAGGGTAGCAAGAGGGTTTTACTACTAGTAAGGAACAACAATATCCAGTTTGTCAAGGTTTGTTGGTGCGGTGGTGCCGCACGTCGCGAGCTGACGCCGAGACAACACCGAGAGAGGCTTCCTTGGAAGCTTGGACGAGCTCTTTTAGAGCTTTTGCAGCTGCCACTTGCCAGCCTCCGCCGCCTCCGCGCGTGTTCTGTACTTGCCGGTACATGCCAGGGCATTAAAGCATTGACACTTTCCAAATTTGGTGGTTTTTAAAAAGGTGTCTCCAGTATTTTAATCAAAAGAGGAGAAAGCAAGAGTTCCAACAATTCGTACTCAGTCCAGAGTAGTACTATTGCGAAAAACAGCTGTATTACTCAAGAATAATGCTTTCAGATGCTATAGAAAGTGAAGTAGGAGAAGTGTCTTTCTTATCCAAGCTTCTTGAACAGTGAGTGCCACCGAGGTCACTGACGGTAGAAAACGAGCTAAGACATTTTGGATGAAAACTTTTATGTCCTAGCAAAGATGACCAAGATTAATTCAACAGTCAATCTCTCAATTTAGCTCACTTTCCCAATATTATTGCTGCGGAGCTGCGGAGCTGGACATCCAAGAACACACCAAAGCTTTGTTCGCATTTTTTTACTTATCATAGTCTTGCTGTCTTGCTACCGGTACTAGAGTACTCGTCGTTTCAATGTTTCAATCGCTCTGCAATACGCTACCGCTACCTGTAGCTATTGTCCTGGTAGAGTTGGCAAGCTACCGGGGGATGGAGAAATCCGCTGCCCATCATTGCACAACAAGGTTTTTGGTGAGGCAGCCACTGCTTACCGCTGTCAAGCACTGCTTACTGAAACAGTGGTGGCACGGTTACCGCTGTCTACCACTGTTTACCGCTGTCTTTACCACTGTTTACCGCTATCGTCAACGCTGTTTACCAATGGGGGATGGGCAAATGTTGCTATAGGGCTCGAGTGTACTCCATTGCGACTCAAAATAACAGTTTTAAAATCGAAATGCAAGCTTTGGACTAAAATTAAGATAAATTGGATTGGATTGCACTGCATTGCATTGAATTGGATTGCATTGGATTGAATTGGATCAAACATGGTACTGTTATTTATATAGTAAAATGGAATTCAATTCAATCCAATCCAATTCAATGCAATCTAATCCAATCCAATCAAATCCAATAGAAAACAAACATCCAAAACATAATATTTCGTTTACAGACACAAAAAAGAGCTAACAAATTCAATGCAGCCGTATTGGCATTTTTGCTCATCCCCCTATCTTTACACCTTTACCTCTATTTACCGCTGCCTTTACCACTGTCAACCGCTGTCGAAAGCTGTTGACCACTGCTTACCACTGTAATGGAGTGGCAGCGATGGGCCATGAATGGCACTGGATTTCTCCATCCCCCCGTGCAGAAGTTTGTGGTGCTACCCATATTGGCTATTGGCTGGGGGTTGGAGTTGTGCTGGTAGCTACAGCCGCTCTCTAGCACTAGCTAGCTAGTAGAGCTAGCTAGCTCTAGTAGCCACTAGCTAGTACCCGTATGATACCGTAGCTAGTGGCCAAGTTAGGCTTCGGCTTCCCTTTGCTTGCTTAGCGAGGTGCTGGCAACCAAAAAGAGCACCCAATGCCATGCCATATGGCTGACAATGCCGATGGCCAGGAATTGCAATTGAATTCCCAGAAAGTGTTTTTGAAGGGCACATGCACACGCCATCCTTTGGAGCATGGGTCCTTATTGTCTGGAATGAATTGGCTACGGTTCCTGGTTCAGCTCCTGTAATAGTATACAGTACTCTAGCAAAGAGAAATAATTTGCAAACCCGCAGCAAAGAAGCAGACTAGATCTGAGAGGAGCGATCAGAGGAAGTCAAGCAGCCAAGACGTTCTGCCCGTCCAGGTGTTGTTCGACTCGACTCGGAGCCCGAAATGAGCAAAGGTCCTCTCATTTAAAAAAAAGCACTTATTTGAGCTCAGTCTGCCCCTTCCATTACCCATTGGTTATTTGGCCCTCACACTGTTTGGCGCTTTGGAGTAAAGGTATGAATTTTGATACAACTACTAAACTTAGGAATGAAACGGATAAATGCAATGTACTGCCCGTTTGCTGGCTAGCTGTGCGTGGGGATCCCCCGCTTTCCGGTACTCCGCTGTGGCCCCGACCTATGCGCTCGGGAGACGTTTTGACAAGCATCTTCGAGCACGTGATGCTGGAACGATCGTCACCGGTGTTGTCTGCCCCTTTAGGCTGAAGGAGTAGCCACAGGCGACAATGGTCGAGTTGGAGATTTGCTGGCGGGTGATTTCTTAGGAGACGCGTTGGATGAACTCTTTGGTGAAGATTTGCTGCCTGATATCCTCTTCTTGGGGGTTGTTGCGTCTTCTGCTGCCAACGTCACGGAGTTTCTTGGTTCATTTCTGGGAAGGCGGCGACGCGAGGACGAGTCGTCCATGGAATCGGAGTCTCGCTTGGGCGAGCTGCTTTGAGACAACGCTTTCGGCGGCCCAGCCTTTGGCTTTCTCTTGGGTGCGTTGTTGAGAGAGACAGCACGGGGCTTTTTCCCTTCCTTGGACGGTTTCGCCTTAAGAGGTGCTGGCTTTTCACTGTTTCTCTTGGGCGACAGTTGCCTTGCTTTGCGGACCACCGGCTCTGAGGCTAGTTTCGGGGGGACCACACCTTCCTTTTGCAGGATTTCGTTGTCCGAGTCCCATGAGAACGATAGTTCTTTCTTCATGACATCTCTTTTGTCACTGGTGGTCTCGTTCGAGGAGATTGTTTTCCTTGGGATTCTGTCGACTGCTGCCTTGGGTGCCGATACTGTTCTCAAGACTGGTTTTTTGGGCTTGGCAGTTCCACTGACTGTCGACTTTGGTGCCGATGATACTCGTTTGAGTGGCGACTTCGGGGTTTCCATGGTTGCCGCGGTTCTACGAGGTCTACGAGGCGAAATGTGCTCGGATGTTGCCCGAAGCTTGTCTCCTTCCTTCGGCACCCTCTTTGGAGATGTTGGCGATGAAGTGACCCTCTTTGCTTTTTCTCGTGGCACGGGCCTCGAAGGTCGTTTCGCAGGCATCTCGGTGTCGTCGCCATAATGGCCCGATTCGTCCAGTGTCGAGTCGTTCTTTTCCATCACCGAACACTCTTCGGCCCATGAGAAGGAATCGTCGCTGGTTCTGTTGGTGCCACCACTGTGATGGCTACTATTGCCGCTGGTCAAGGCACTGTTCGTCCGAGCAGCCTTCTTTTTCCGTTTCGGTGAGTTCTTGTCCAAGCGGCGACGACAGGCTTTGATGATATCCTGGGGAGAAATGTCGTCGTCATCATCGTCGTCAAGCACATTGAGAGCATATGCACTGCTGTTGTGGCCTCGGCTTCCGTTCAGCAGATCTTGTTCTCCGTACCGAAGCCAAATCTCCATCGACGTGGCATCTTCTTTCCATTGCTGTGCATTCACGTCAAAGTTTTTAATAAACCCGGCCGGCACTTTCTTGATGTTTCGGGATAGCGAAGGGAATTCGATGTTTGTGATGGTTTCATCTTCTTCAATTTCCTTGAGCAGCATGAGCACAGCCGACACGCTCATCATGGTGTGGAGTTCAATCTTGGCTTTGAATTTGATGGGTACACCGGTGACGTTTTTGAGTTTGAGCTTTTTTTGGAACGTATCCAATCCGTGGACAAACGCTTGATAATCGATAGAGTCACTAATGGCGTCCACAAAGGAGACTTCGCTCCAAATCCTCTTGATATTGTTGCTATTGTTGGTGTTGCGTCGGCCGCGGCTTCGACTTCCAATGCTTCTCCAACTATTATCCATATCGGATTCGTCCTGAATCATTTCGTCCGCCACGTCCTCCATGGTGGTTGCCGTGTCACGTAACAATTGAGTGGCGGCCTGGAAGAGTTTGGGCCGTTCTCGTAGAATCAAATCTTCAAATTTAAGGAAGATGACTTTGGAGTCTTTCTTGGCCTTTTCAATCTCTTCCAGAACAAACTGTTCGGTGTAAAACTCGGAGCAAAAGATTTCCATAGAGGTCACATCCTCGGCTTGTTGTTGTCGTCGCCTCCGAAGGCCGTTGCCAGAAGACGTTCGTTTCAAGGTACTGGCGGCAGTTTTTCCCACGGCACCACCGGCTGACGCTACAGCTGTGACACCCATGGAAGCACCAACAATGGCAGTTTTTCTGCAAGATAACCACAAAGTCAGTCTTGAATTCAATTGGATATTGGGATATTATCAAGATGGGTATATACCCTCGTAACTTACCCTACAGCACCTCCAGCTTTTCTGTGGTTGTAGATTGAGAAAGGAACACGGAAGTGGTAAGTCATTAGCTGCCTGATGCCTCTTGAATTGTGCCTTCATTGGGGACTTCGGATGTGACTTACCCCACGGCACCTCCTGCAGCCACTGCGGTTTTTCCCACAGCCCCTCCAGTAGCTGCTACAGTTTTTCCAACAGCCCCTCCAGTAGCTGCTACAGTTTTTCTGTTAGGAAGGCATTGAGAATAGACTGAGGTTAGTGACTTGCATACCCAAGCTCTTCCTTCCCTCTGATGCAGGGGTATACCAACGACTTACCCAACAGCACCACCCGCTGCCACTCCCAGACGACCCACTGCAACCCCTCCTTTGCTGCAGCGTCCAAATAGAAAAGGATAATGGAAGAAAACCAGTTGTTAGACTGATATGTGGCTTCAGATACCCCACGGGGGCTTCAGATACCCCAATCACCGCTTGTCTTGTCTTACCCCACAGCGCTTCCAGTCTTGGTAGCTGCATTGCTAGCTGTCTTTCCGATATTCAGAGCGGTCTTTCTGTATTTTCAAAAGGAACAAAAGAACAAAGCAGCATGAGGTCCACAGCTCTTCTTCAATAAATTCAACAGAATCCGATCATCCCGTGCGTTTGCTCTTGCCAAACTCACCCAAACAATCCGGCACCCTTTCCCAGCGTGCTGCCGGTCTTGGAGACGGTTGTAGTAAGCAGATCCATCTTCATTTCAGTCTACTTGAATGTTATTATGTTGTTGGTTGGGTAAGAAGTTGCAAAATAGAGGTGAGCAAATCGACGCCTCTTGAGTCTTTTGTGACCACCTTGCAAGTTGCAAGTGGAAAGAGCAGGATCGGTTGGATGATCGATGAAGGAACGCCTCTTTGACGTGGTCTTCTAACAGCCTATTCTGTATGGTCATACTGTACTCCGTCCCCAAAGCCAATAACAAAGAAAAGATGCAAAATCCTGCATAAACAATTAAGAGCAGCACCAGCACCTACTGAAACTCATACAGAGGAGGTAAGCAGCTGGCTACTTCGGATACCCTTAAATCCGGCTTACTGACCCTTTGGTCCCAACAAAATCAATATGCACTCAATTGTTAGATTTATTGAAGTCCAGGAAGAGCTCGCCTAGCATGGCTCCAAGGTTGCTCCACCTGGATACTGTAGTGCGGGAGCCTACCTCCAGAGCTTTGTCACAGATTATGATAAGAGTATCGCTTCCACGCACCTGGCCCCGTCACTCACACACTCCTGCTCCTAGAGTACCGGTACGCTACTGTTTCCCTACGGTAGGACCACAAAGATGAATTCAATTTGAGTGGAAGGAATATGTGCCCCTTTTTTTAATACCGTCTCTTGACTTGGCACTCTTTGCTAAAATCGTATGACTTTGATCTCTATTGAGACTTAAACATGTAGTTCTGGGTGCTGTTCTAAATTTTCTAGAGCTACTCTTAGAGAAAGCTAAGTAACTATTGTACCTAGACTGGTACCAGGTACTGTAACTTTAGCTGGCTACCTGCCAGCAGACAGAGCTGCCGAGAAGCCATGGCAATCCATTATCCATTACTTCGAAAACTTGGAATAACTTGTAAGTAAGGGAGCCAAATAGTGAAAGGATTGTCCAAACCCGATTAGGATGACTTCACCAACTGGAAGGAGTATCCAATACTAAATCGTTTGTCGCAAAAGTGATTGAAAATCCCTCTAAAGTTATAATGAACGTAAATGCCATTTAAAGGTCTTGTGAAACGAGCTTTACAAGGTCCGTGCACTCAGTACCGGTACCGCACATACCAGAACATCTCTAGCTACTAGTATTTTAAAATGTATTAATAGCTAGTGTTAGTACGGCTCCGTTATGCTATTTGTATTACAGTAATTAATAGTACAAGCGTACAAGCGAATTAATCACGCTGGTACCATGTAGGAGTACTAGTCCCTTCTAAAAAAATTGTACCGTTACTAATAATGTAGTACTCCTACTAAATCAGCTACTAAATCAATGATGACAAAATGGCTTACAAAAAGCTTACGGTATCTACACAAGTGTATTGATTCTATTCTGCTCTCCATCTTCCCACCACTGACAAACCGTTTAAATCCGGAATTGCAGCTGGTTTCTAGTATCTGGCTTGCCTAGCTCTACTTTCTTTGTATACCCCCTAGCTAGAGTACACAACTTACAAATCTACAGTGTGACGAATGCACCCGCAAGCCGGAAGTCCGCAAGCATCTATTCTATCATAGATCTTTGGCTAGCTAGCTAGCTTAGCAAGGTTTAACTCACTCCGCCAGACATATGCATACATGTATCTCACATCCCACTCAAGCGCTGGATACAATGTCATGTAGCCAGCGTCGAGAATACTCTAGAACTACATGCCTAGTAGACAGCGTCCACTGGAGGTAGTGCTCCTCCTATTTCCTGGCGGCATTAGCTACAGTGTGTAATCAGCTTCCGTGCTGCATGCATCATTCCGGTATCGGTATAGTATTGTATGGGATAATGGGTTCCACGCTCGCGAGGTTGAGATTGCCAAGGAGGACGAGGCGGTGCAAGCAACAACCGGCAGGGTCAGGGAGCTGGCTGGATGATTCATCATTCATGGCAACTTCTACGAAAGCTCTTCGTGAATGTTGGAACATTATAAAAGCTTTCAGTCTACCGACCGGTTGAGTACATCTACTGATGACTTCTTCTTGTTTCGGTTGCCATCGTTTGGCTAGGTAATCCCATCGAATCCTTCCTCCTCCCATGGAGACCAACAGTTTCTTCACGCTCCTCTCCACTTCGATCCTGCGTGTGATTTCCCACGAACAAATCAAAGCAAGGACTGTATGATAGATGTACTTTCGTTTTGGGACGCATGACACAAGCTAGAGCAAGACTAGCTAGCTAGTAGATTTCCAGGCTGGGCGATCAAATAAATTTGCAACTTGGCTGGAGTGAGATGGCGTACCGGTACAGTGGTAGTATGACTGAAGACGCACTCCTTTCGCCAAGAGCAAGAATGCCTCGCTTCATCGTCCGCCCACGAGCACCAAAAGGATATTGGGATGCTGATTGAGCCAGCATTTTAGCATTTTAGAAGTGATTCACTAGCAAGTTAGGTCCAAAAGTGGGGTTGGAGAATCCATAAGCGTGCTGTCAAGTTTTTGGTGTGTCATTGAAGGAAAAGGGGGGCTGCACATCTATCTCTTTTGCACAACATTAGAAGGGCTCATTCCTCGAAGAGATGAAAATGGCATGTGCTTGGGTAGGATGAGAAATACAGTAACTTCAATCCGATCATTCATCTTCCTCGTCAAACAAGCGAGCCGCTGGCGTTGGATTGTTTCTTGGTACGATTTCGAGGTCGTCATCGTCATCATCGTCATCGCTATCGATCAGGCCCCCAGGACGAACCAAAGGCCTACTACTAGATGATTCCAAAGTAGTAGATTGTTCTTCTTCTTCTCCTTTCCAAGCTCTCATGACATCCACCGTATCATGTTCGGGCCCACCGACCAGGAAGAACTTGACCTCGTGGTACGGTTGAAACGTAAAAATATGAACCAGGTAATTCTCTTGGTTGTTGTCATCTTGCCATGCTAAAAACCAACCAAAATCGTGCCCCGACACCAATTCAGACTTCAGTTCTGTGTCGCACAGGAATCGCAACGCCAATAAAAGATTCCCTCGCATACATGGAGAACAATAGTGCCGACTTGGTAGACATAGAATCCACGTGGATTTTGTTCCGTAGTGTCACAAAAAGAGGAAGCACAAGCCATGCGGGGTCGCTTCTTGTTGTTGTTGGAAGATGAAGAGTCGTCCAATGTTATGATCGCGTGCGGTTCTTCCACCGCATCTAGACCGGGAAAAAAGTACTCACCGGGCATGAGAAACTCGACCATGTCCAGCCAACGTGTCGTGTCGCCCCACAGTGTCGTCTTCTAGTTCGGCAATATGATACTCGCCCTTTCGAATAGAGTCAATGATTCGTTTCTTTAGTAACTGTTCTTGTTGCCCGTTGTTCCATACCTGCACAATCTCGCGGTCCTGCAAATAGTTTTTCCAAGTTTTTGGCATTGATCGGCAGGTACACAGTAGCCTTTGGTAGTCGGCAAAGCCAAAGTATTCCGCGAGCTGATGCCCTACATTTGACTTTAATTAAGCCAGCGGAGCTGTGTAACCTCGGCAGAAAGGTTTCATTGTAGAAGCAGATACCCCTGTAGCTAGCTAAGTAGAAGCAGATACCTCTAGTGCTTAGCTAGTGCTTAACTTGTGCTTAGCTAGCTAGAAGCAAATCCCCCCTAGCTAGAAGCAGATTCCCATAGCAAGCTAGAAGCAGTCACCCCTAGCTAGCTAGAATACTAGTTATATAGCTTGCACTGGCTTTAGAGTTTTTCCTGGTAGAAGCAGATCCCCTACTGGGATGGATGTAAGTAGCTTTAGCTGGTTTGCACCATCCTAGCTAGGATACTTATTTTGTTTTTGCTGACTTATTTGTATTCTAACCCTACCCTTATACCTGCAGGGACCACCGTAGCAGGAAAAACAATTAAAGGGGTTCAGGGCTCTGGCAGCAAGACTGCCGAGGTAAAATACAGATAACAGTGTGACTTTAGATGTTGCCATGGTCTTCTGTTTGTTGGAAGTTGGAAGGGACTAGAGACAAAAGAACAACACCAGGGATTCCAACGTGGTCCCCCACCGTAGTACTAACCTGGCCCAACGATGCTTAACTTCGCTGAGCAGACGGGAAGCGGTGCTGTCATCGTGGTATGGTCGTTCCTGACAGAGAGTCAAAGGCTTAACAATAGGTAGCTCAATAGATTGCCCCATACCCTGGCTCAGGAGGGGAGCTTCGAAGTCACAAGAACGCAGCAAACAAATGGAAGTAGTACCGTACAGTACAGCCATGAAGACCAGAAGAAGACAACAGAAGGGACGCATACCACAAGCACTACCTGTATGTCTCCTATCATCATCACTGCTGTTACTAGTATGCTGTTGTATCCATCCTGTAGTGACTGGCTTGGCTCCGGCTCGATTATCGTGCGATCCTTCCAGTAACTCGGCGGGTGATTCATTTTGTCGTCAGATTCTGCAAGACGGGTCGTACTGCGATCCCACAACGTTGCGTTGTACGAGCCCCTTTGCCAGTCGAGGTTGTTTTGATAATGATGGCGATAGCAGTCATAGTCTCACTGTTTGTCAAGGCGAGGAATGCCATATCAGAATTCATGCGGGAAATTGGGACTCCTCGTTGGCCATGGCATGGATCTACCAAATCATTCTCACCGAACGTCTGCAAGTTCCAACCGCCGTCGTGGGTATCAATAATAATAATGATAACACGGATGATACAACAGCAATTAGCTTTTATCATCCGGCAGCACCCTTTGTCTATGCCGATCAGGCGTATGATTGGGAAGGTTTGCAAGCAACTTCTGAGAAAGAGCGTGTCCATGTTCTGCCCGAGGTTTGGAACAGTCAACGAGAAAACTACTACCAAGCCATTCAGAACCAATCCATTGTCCATGATCCAGTTGGAACTGCCACTGGAATTTGGGGACAATCGCAATGGTATGTACCGACACATACGGCACAGGCACATCCCGCATTACTCCACTATTATGGTCTGCAGCAAGCCACTACACTGCAATTGGCAGATATCTTTCGACAACCCTACACGTGGGGAATGTATTGTGACTTGATTTCTACCAGCAAATGCCAAGAACCCAATGCCGTGGCACAAAGGGCACCGAGCGATGACGAAGAAGTGGCATTGTACCATGTCCGTCGACTCTACACGGGGTATTTTGGAGTCCATCAAAGTAGTGGCCATGTCATTGCACACGACAACAGCAGCAACAGCAACAGCAACAACAATACACTCGCCACACTAGCAGAACCATGGAACAACAACAACATCTCGCTTCAACAATCAACTCATGACCGAGAATCCATGAAACAAATTTGGAAGGCTGCCATGGCGACCCAATCACACGTCATGATGGCATGGTGGACTCCAGACTCCTTTCTCGAAGCGTTTCGAGACGAGTTCCAGCCCGTCACATTCTTACAACAACCACAAGATGCGAGAACGTGTCTTGCCACAGATTCCAACAATTGTCAAGGAGAATTGCTTAAGGCCATTTCCACCTCGTTGTTGGTGGAACCACAACAAAACCCCGCCTACCAAGCCATTCGTAATTTGCGAATTGCCGAGGACGAGTGGAAATCGCTTCTGAAACAATGGGGGATTGCCGAGGCAGAAGATCCCACCATGCGAGGGTTTACCAATCGAAAAGCACTGTGTGATTTTGTCCAGGCACACTGGGACGAATGGGAACCCTTTGTCGTTCCCAAAGGATTTCCACATCATCAAGAGTCCACGGATGATTCTTGGACGACTACTAGTAGTAGTAGTCATATGCTCGTGGCCGCTCAAGTCATTGGGGGATTGGCATCCCTGGGGGTGCTCCTGACGGGCATCTTGACAGTCCGCTATCGAACGCGATTGGCATTGGTCTATGCCCAAATCCACTTTGTCTGGCAAGTCCTGTTGGGATTCTGGTTTGTCACCATGGCAGCCGTCTTGTATGGAAAAGAACCCACCGACCGTCGATGCTTGTCGGGACAATGGCTCTTGACGTTGGGGTTGACACTGGTCCACGTTCCGTTGCTCATCAAGGTGGCCAATATCAACCGCATTGCGGCGCAATCGTTGGAGAAATACAATACTGAGGCGGCGAGGGCGACTACCGTGGTGATTCGTATTGCTCCGCTAAAGCTGTTTATGGTCGAATTGGCACTCACCATTTGTGTGATTATGTATTTGATGATTTGGACTGCCTACGATCCACCCTCGCGAACGACAACACGAGTGTGGCGAGAGCAAGATGACGGAAGTACCCTTGTGGAGACCAGCGTGCAATGTTCTTCCCGCTCGGATGGCTGGGTTCTAGCCACGTTCTGCTGGCAAGCCATTGTATTGGCATGTACCACTGTTTTGGCAGTGCTATCTCAACAAGTCGTGGACAAATTCAAAGAAACAAAGACATTGGGTCTTCTCATCTACTGTCAAGATCTATGTCTGGTACTGCAAGTGGTGTTGTTCCTGTTCGAAGGGGGATCCTCCAGTGTGATCAGCGCCAGCCTCAGTCTTGTACTGAGTTTGACGTCTGTCATGTCCTGCGCAATCTACTTTGCTCCGCTGTTCTCTCGTATTGCCCGTGGCGAAGAACACACTGTGGCGAATGATCCTCGTTTGAGGACAATACCGCAACCTTCAACATCATCACAACCTAGTACAGAACTAGATCGGAGAGCGGGGGACGCCACTAGCAGCAGTTCCCAGCAGCAGCAACCGCAGGCGCAACAATTGACCCTAGGAATGGGATCGGCTAGCAGCGATCTCAACTGTTTGATTCAGAATCGCCTACGCGAATTCCAAGACGCCGAGTTTCGGTTCCCGGCAGCCATCACTGCCGAATGCAGTCGAAGCATGGAGCTGGATGCCTCCTCGATTCAACTCGATGGGTAGAGCTGCTGCTTCTGGTAGTTTGCCTGCTGGCTACTCGGTGCCTTTCAGGATGGTGCCTATGGACCTTCTGCTTTGGGACCCACCCCCACATCGGAATTTAGCAGGCTAGCCGGCCACCGAATCGCAGTGCTCGAGTGCTTGAATGGGCAACGTTCACGGTGTGAGCTTTGATCCTGGGGTATGTGACAATTATATTACACATTCACAAGTTGCAAGGGGTCAGCCACAGTCAGTCATCACCATGGAATGTGAATGCAGGCTCTAATCCTAGCTAGGCGCCAGCTAGAAGTGGTCCACTTCCTCAATTTGCTGGGCGAGTGCTTCCCCTGGTGGAAACTTGATGAGACTGCTGAAGCCATGTAGTAGATTGAGCAATCGAAAGCTGATGTCATGTGCGAGCAGGGATGCAAGAAATTGTAGCTACCTTGGTGATAGTTATGCACACGAATGCAGCTCTCCACAAAACTAACTAACTAACTAACTATCTAGGCCCAACTGGAGCAAGGAAGTAAGAAAAAAAAATGGTATAAACTAGTCGTATGCCCAAGAGAAATGATGATGGATCTAATAATCTCCGCCGTCTCCACCATCGCCTCCTCCGAACATATCCATACCGCCTCCCATATCCATTTCTTCTTCTTCAACCTTTTCTTCTTCCTTTTCTTCCTCGGCGGCATCTCCACCGCCTCCTCCGCCGCCACCACCGCCGCCGCCGCCACCTCCAGCGGCGGGACAAGCGATGAGTTGTGCCAGCTTTTGCTTGTCTCCGAGGTAGTTGGCAAAGATGATTGGGTAGAAGGCTTCAACTTCCTTGTTGCCTGTGGCTTCCAAGAGAGAGTTGATTTGTTCAGAGGTGACTTCGGCCTGTTGTTACAAAAGAAGAAAAGCGAAAAAACATGGATCAGCAAGATCATTGGATGGACGTAACAACGGTCAAGATCAGAAAGAGAAACTCACTCCTCCGTCATAGAGGGCCAGAATAGCAAACGCAGTTGCGTATTCGTCCTTTTGGTCCTTAGATAGCTTATCCATGATGATGCTGTTACTTGTTGCTTGATGCAGATGCTGACTAGAGAGACTCAGGCAGGTTTAAGTCGATGTACGACAGCTTGAGACTACGATAGTGAAGACGGGCTTCGTTTCTTGTTGCCTCTGGTTATTTCATGGTTACCTCTTTACTAAAAAAGATGTGTGGATTTGCCCTTTTACGAATTCGAAGCTTTCGAATAGTTTTTTGAATCGAATCGAATGATTCGAATATATTTGGTCGAAGATCGGATCTTTTCCGAATGAATGCAGAGCTTACATGTATCTTCTTGGAAGAGCACCGTACAGCGTATGGCCAGAGGCCAGAGAGTCGTTAGGAGTGTCTTTTAAAATTAAGGGTGTCATTGGAGTATTGCTGAAGCATCAGCCATTACTGCATCTTGTGGTTGAAGGCCCCCACGACGCTGCCATGGACGCTCCGACAACGCTGTCGTTGGTGCTCCACCAAAGGATTCTCCAACAGCGCAAGCAAACGCTCAGGCGCTCAGGCTGAGTGTTTCCACAGAGATCAGAATGGCCAAAGACGAAGGCACAGCTTTTTTTTTTTTTTGGGGGGGGGGGGCGGGAGATACTAGAATGGTTTCTACTTTACTAGAAAGCAGCCACACACCATGCTTGGGCCCACCAAGAATTTCGCTGGGACACGGTTACTAGCAAACGTTTTGTGCTTGCAAAATTCACAGCTAGATCTAATGCACTTACGTGGACTGACTCGACTCCTCCGTGGCGACGAATGTTAGAGTGCCCATGATCAACCTGCTCATGATGTGCCTGTGGAGCGGAGCTTCCAAGTCTGCACTGCAGCAGAGTTTCTAAGATTCTCTGAGATTTTGTGAGTGGTGATCTTGATAATGGTGCTTACGTTGGCCAGTGTCATTTTGGCTGTCATTTTGGTGTCAATTGATAGAAGATACTTAAAGAGACTGCACCTAGTGATGACTTGGTGCGTCTAAAAGTGGAACTCGGCTCGGCGAAGGAAACGGTCTCGAGCTGTTTTCTCGAATTCGTTCGGTCCAGCCAAGCTCCCAAAGCCCGAAGGAATGATGAATGATGAGTGATGAATGGGCACAACAGTTCATCCCTCGCTGCTGTTGGCTCACAAAACCACCAAGCAAGCAATTAATCAGAGCCCAGCACAAAGGAAAAACCAATTTGAGAATGACGATCACGATGAGCATCACACCAACACAAGTCAACCTTCAAGACTCGAGTAGCTACAGCACCGCCAGTAGCGTCCCGGATGACGTTTACAAGCGGCTCCCGAAAATGTACAAATCGACCAAGCTGGCTCCAGTGGACCTGAAGTTTGACATGGTCCGCGAGGAGTCTCACACTGTGAGCCTGAAAAAGGCCCACAAGGCCGCTCTGAGGAGCCAGGTCCTGAGCGGTTCCCGCAAGGCACAAGCATCCGTGATGTTTGTCGTAAAGCGTCCCGGTTGCATTTTGTGTCACGAACAAGGTGACGACCTACAAAAGCTAGTGGGAGAGTTCTCAAACCAGTCGGTTGCTGCCTTTGCTTGCATCAAGGAAATCAACGTGGATGACGAGGGTCTCTTGACATTGTACAAAAACTACTTTCAATTCCCCTTCTACCGCGACACTGAGTTGAGTGTGTACAGTGCCTTGGGAGACCGAAAGGTGAATGTAGTGACAGCCTTGCGTCGGTGGTACTCGGCCAAGAAACGTTGGGAGAAAAAGGGACTTCGTGGCAATATGATTGGAAAGGGAGAAGGCATGCTTTTGGGAGGTGTCATGGTTTTCAACCGAAAAGGAGAGCTACAGTATGCATACAAAGAGCAGATCGGTTTGCCGCTGCCCATTGATGAGATCCGCACCGCCATCAAGGAGGTTATGAATGAGTAAATGAATGTTGGGTGGATGAACAAGTCAAGGCAGCAGATGAAGAGCAATCGTTGTACATATACCGGTACCGGAAGGGTTAGATTGTTTGTACCATAAGAATAGAACGTTGCCTACGAGAAAAATGGTATCGGTAGGACGTGATGTAGATCTTTGTGTGCTTCCATCATTTGGAGTGACAGTCGTAGATTTTTGGATACCGTACCCTGGAGCTCAATGTCTTCAATGTCCGGGGTGATGGCACACAGGATATCATTCCGAGAAAATCACGTTGTATTTGCTTGATTGTTTTAACAAGTGACGCAAGATGGTCTTGCAAAGAGAAAGATGCAGATCAGGAAGATGGTCAAAGGGAGAGTACTTGGTCTTCCACATGTCCCTGTTACAACCACCGCATACATCTGTACGGGAATGGCGAGCTTGATGCTTGCTGGATGTTCGAAGGCATTATGCTGGAGTTGCTGTGTGCTTGGAAGCCGTGAATGCCAGGGCCAACTGCCACCCGCATCATCCACGATGTTGGTAAGTTCACCGTTTTGTGAATTGCGGGAGATCAGACCACGTCGATTCCTCGTGCTCACCGTGTTCTTTGGAATACCAACCAAGTCTCCAGTTGAAGGCCAGAGGTATGAAAGACCTTCCTGCTAACGCCTCTTAGCAGCAATCCGGCTCCCATCATCCTGGCTGCTAGGAAACAACCAAAGCCATAAGTTTCATCAATCCGATGAGAAATATCCGAAGCCTGAAGCTCTTTGTGAACGAGAAACAGGCAACGGTACGCCTTGCAAGAAGGCAAGAAGAATGGTGTGATCTTCGTTGTCGCTTCCTGTCGAGAATATTGGGATAATCGCAAAGAAAAACACATTCCTCACTAGATCGCCTCCAGGCAGCAGGGCACGCCACTACCGCTGAGATTAAACGAAGCAGGCTTGTTGGTCTACTTTGTGAGGATGAAACTCGTACTTTGTCTCCTTCCCAAGGTTTGGGCGGTGATTCACATCTGCTGATCAGTGTCATTCTCCACCGCTACTCGTTGGGCCCGGAACCGGCTCTCCCCGTTCTCTGGACATCCATTATCACGTGCCCACCACAGCACTTCTAAATGGCCATATCCTATAGCAGCCTCACATGTGGCACTGTCCCAGGGGCATCCATTCTCTCTAGCCCATTTCAGAACCTCTAAATGGCCTCCTTTAGCAGCCTCCGCACAAGTCAATTCATCCCAAGGACATCCATTCTCGTGCGCCCATTTGAGAATTTCCAAACCCCCTTGCCCGGCCGCAAAGTAGCAGGTTTTTGGATCCCAGGGACATCCATTCTCGCGTGCCCATTGCAAAATCTTCAAATGGCAAACTTGAGCAGCATAGGCACAAGAATACTCATCCCATGGACATCCATTCTCATGTGCCCACATGAGAATTTCCAAATGGCCTCCTTCAGCGGCTTTGGAACAAGTAATTTCATCCCAGGGGCATCCATTCTGGTGTGCCCACTTCATAATTTCGAAACATCCTTTCTCAGCAGCGTTGGCACATGTGAATCTGTCCCATGGGCATCCATTCTGGTGTGCCCACCTCAGCATTTCAAAATGTCCAATAAGAGCAGCATTAGAGCATGTATCTTCGTTCCAAGGGCATCCATTTTCATGCAACAATTTTAAAATTTCCAAGTGACCACTTTCAGCAGCAGCACCACATGTATCCTCGTCCCAAGGGCATCCATTTTGATGTAACCATTTCAGAATTTCAGAGTGACCCTCTTTGGCAGCCTCTTGGCATACCATACTATCCCAAAGGGCTCCTTTTTCATGTGCCCATTTGAGAACTTCAAAGTGACCACCAGCAGCAGCACCCCAGCATGTATTCTCTCCCAAAGGGCATCCATTTTCATGTGCCCACTTGAGAACTTCAAAGTGACCATTTTGAGCAGCATCCAGGCAGACTTGATCATCCCATTCACATCCATTCCTACGCAACCATTTCAGTGTTTCCAAATGACCATGCCGAGCAGCATTCCAACAGGTATCTTCACCCCATGGGAACCCTTGCTCATGAGCCCATTGAAGAACTGCAATAGACCCAACACGGGCAATTTCATAACAAACATCATCGTGATCTGGTCCACTGAATGTTCTCTGTGATCTATAAGCGCGCCAGAATTTTGCACAGGAGATGTTACAGAATGCCGCACTGTAATGAGTTTCATAGTAATCCTCCTCCTTCACCCTGTCACAGTATTCTTTCGTAATGCTGATTGAATTTCTTGTTGACAGCGCCCACAAAGGCAAAGTGCCCTGTTCCCACAAACGAAAAGATGTTGTTGACCCAGACATCCTTTCGCTCCAACAACAAGACATCATCATTGGCAGCAGAAGCAGGGCTGACTCGAGTGGAACTAGCAAGAGGAAGAGTTGACATGGTCTGAAGAACACAAGAGAAGTAGTCTTGATACGCTGATGTAAGCACTGCCGGCTATGATTTTGGCTGGAAGACAAGCAGCATACGAGTACTGTAAGCACTTGAGGGGTGCTCTTCAGAAAACCCGGATCTTTTTCACCCTCTACAGCTGTACCAAATCGCGCTTGTTGTTGAATCCTGTCGCTCTGATATTGTGAGTCTACTTTGTTTGTTTATCTCTACAAGCTACCTCTCTCAGACTTGCATCTACTTGACTGAAAGATACAAACGTGCACAGACTTGAGTGAGCCTGCATGGCACAACACTCCTGCGACACCCTTCCTGTTGTGGCATGTCAGCCA